CCAGAAGTGCTTTTGGTGGGGTAACCGATTTATTAGATAAACACAAGTTTGTAGAGCTTCAACCTAAAATTGAGATGGTAATTGAGCATGAACAAGGAGGGAACGAACCATGTTTAGAAGTGTTCGATTCATTCTTTCTGCTTTCCTATTTTGCTGGGTGTGTATGGACAAGAAATATGCAGATTGATACCTTTATCAGAAAGAAAACTTTGAAAATTTGTAGCGATGACATACTCAGCCGCTCCATCGCATTGGAGAGATTTGATCATGGTTTGGTGTTGCTTTTCGATGAGTTTCCATAGATGAACAAATTCAAAATAGACTTCAGACTCATTCTTGATTGGAAAGACCCATAAATAATGGGTAAAATCATCCAGAAATAAAACAAAGTATTTAAAACTGCTAAATGACAAACAAGGGGAGGTCCAAACATCTGTATGGACTAATTCAAACGGACTACAAGTAACAGTTGTAGAACTAACAAAGGAAGCCTATAATGTTTGCCAACTTGACAGGCATGGCAAAAGGATCTAGGACATTTACTTCCAGAAATACGGGAAAAAGGAAGCTGAACAAAGGACGGGACGGATGACAATACTGAAGAGTTGGGATGGACAAGCCGGAGATGCCACAAATTTGAGGAAGCAGTAACAACAGAGAGAGCCAAAGGAGCAAATGGAGAGCCAGAGGGAAGTGATAAAGAGGCCCCAAGCTATTGCAGCGTAGGCGGAGCTTCTTCGTCCATAGATCCTTCACAGAAAAACCAATTGGGTCAAATTAAAAAGAGCATTGTTTATCCTTTGTAAATTGGCAGATAGAAATCAAATTTTTGGTAAGGTGAGGAACATGAAAAACATGTGGAAATTTAAAGAGAGATGAGGACAAGTTTCCAGTAGAAAGAATAGGCAATGGGTTACCGTCACCAACAATCAATTTGTTGAAGCGAGAGTAGGGTTTGGAAGAAGACAAGATACCTGCATTTGGAATTATGGTATTGGAAGCGCCAGTGTCGAGATACCAAATGTTGTCGATAGAAAGAGGAGCGGATGAAGCGTCTGAGCGAACGGAGTTATCCATGTAAAAGGCAGGCTGTTGGAGCTGATAACAGTCCCTCGCAAAATGATTAGCTACATACACAATTGACAACGAATAGTATTAGCAAAGGGAGAAGGGCCAAGAATGGAATTACCGTGAAGACAAGGCGAAAAAGACGGTGAAGACTAAAAACCAACGAAAGAATTTGGGGAATAGAAGCCCTGATTAAGGCCGTGACCGCGACCGCGTCCCAGAAACCCTTAATTGTGACCGCGACTGCGACAAAAATGGGAGAATTGATTAGAAGTTGTGTTGTTGATGAGATTGAGAAGCAGAATATGATGATGTATTAGCAACTAGAGCAGAGGAAGGGTTCGAAGCAGGAGTGTTGTTTTGTTGACGATATAGCAGTGCATGAGCTTCAACAAAAGAGGGGTGCAGGATTTTAGTAGAGATGGCAGCAGAAATGGGTAAATATTCATTTGGAAGCCCAGAAAGGATTTGAAGAACTAGGTCAGCATCAGAGATCACTCCGCCACCCGAATTGAGAGAGTCGACTAGGGCTTTGAGTTGGTAGATATAATCATTTATGGAAAGATCCCCCTTCTTTAAGTTGTGTATTTCATTTTTAAATGGAGGACTCTAGAACCAATACGGTCCTGAAACTATTTTTCGATGGAGGTCCAGGCTTCATAAGCGGTTAAAGACCGATTTGGACTGATAGTGGCCTGAAGGATTTCTGTGGAGATGGTGGCTTAGATCCAGGAAAGAACAATCGAATCCACCTGGATCCAGGAGTGATAAGCCAGATTAGGGACAGTAGCATTGGAAGAGTCAAGAATAGTGGGAGAAGGGCAAACGGAAGAACCATCAACGTGATCTAACACACCATTACCACGCAAAACCGGCATGAGTAATTCCTTCCACAGCATATAGTTGGTGAGATCAAGAACCGGACACACATAGTTTTTGATATTGGAGAGGCTGATAGCCGTATGAGTTGTGGGAGAAGAAGTAGAGGAGGAAGAGGAAGAAGTAGACATTGGGGGCAAAAGAAGTGGGGAATTAGGGGTGGCGGTGTCATTGGAAAATAGGAGACGGCAGAGTTGGTCATGGCTGAGAAGAGACTCATGATACCATAAAAGAGAAATAGTTTTAGAGTAAAATTTGGAAGATCTCCATTGCTTCCATTCAGTATGTTTATATAGAGAGTTTACATAATCATGATAATTACATAATGTGATATTTTCTAAATCTATGTGATTCTAGTCTATCAATATTGATCATACTATACAAGATAAATACAAGACATAATTGTATTCTATCAGTGCATTTTGCTAACCAATATGTAAGAATAAGATCGATAACATGACCATCCCTTTTGCATTTTACCTAATATATTGTAATCAAATGATGCTTCATCTGACATTTTCTTCCCCCTTCTAACCAAGATGTATCTAGTTTTAAGGAATACTCCCTTTGTCTGAGTTTTGAGATTTGAACTATTTTTCATTGAACTCAATACATCTGAACTATTTTTGGGATTGATAGAGCACTAGTATGCACAAAAAAAAATTCATGAAAGGTGAGTTTCATTGACCTAAATTATTCATTGGAGATGCATACATGCACATAAATTGGTGTATTGTTGAGATTTGCATTATGCAAAATTTTAATCTCTTAGTTGAGAGACAAATATATATATTTATTGGGAATGAGATTTCACAAGTTCTCAAATAACAAAAGTCGGGTTTGATCTAAATCCAACAAAATATACATATTCTGCAAGAACCAAATTCAACTGCAATTTAAAGAATCTGTAACTTACATAGTTTAGCAACGAGGAAGAAGAAGCTGAAAATAAAAAATAGTAAGAGAGAGAAAGGATGAAAAGGAGATTGATTAGAATGGTGCAATTAGATCCGGTTCTACTAAAAATGTTCTCCCATCGGGGAGTGTATCTTTGAATCTTCTTATTCCTTCCTCATTGATTCTTATAGTTTTCATTTCTTCCCCTCTAAGTTGTTCTTTATCTAGCATTCAACTCAAAACTCCAATAATTCATTCGTTTGAGTACAATTCCTATCATCAAAGATAAAATCACATAAATAGCATAGTTGTACTCAAAATATAGACAATAATCTCGCATAAAGGGATATAATAAATGAAAGTGTTGAAACCCTTATCGATTATTGTATTGATCATGAGTATATATAGTATAACAACAACTATGGTAATTACAATTATAGCCTTAACTATATATGCACTAACATCCCCCCGCAATCTAAACGTGAGATACACGAACGTTTAGATTGTCTCTAAAATCCATAAAAATACATGAGGCAAACCCTTATTCATTATATCAACAAACTGGTGAGAAGAAGGAACATGAAGAACTCAAATAGACCCCTGAGCAACCTTCTCACGAATAAAATGGATATCAATCTCAACATATTTGGTACGCTGATTCTGAACAGGATTAGTAGACAAGAAGATAGCGCTGACATTATCACAATATACAAGGGTGGCAGTAGGCAACCGAATATATAGCTTCGAAAGTAAGGAATGAATCCAACAGACTTCAAAAACAGCATTAGCAACCGCTCGATATTCAGCCTCAACACTAGAACGAGAAACAATAGGTTGCCGTTTAGAGGACCACAAGATGAGATTGGGACCTAAGAAGACATAATAACCAGAAGTAGATCGACGAGTATCTGGATAGCCAACCCAATCAACGTCAGAATATGCCACTAACTTATGAAGATGTGCAGATTGAAGATGAAGACCATGAGAAAGAGTGCCCTTCAAATAGCGCAGAATGCGCTTGACTACTTTGAAGTGAGAATCCCGAGGCTGATGCATAAACAAACAAACCTGTTGCACTGCATAGGCTATATCAGGATGAATGAACGTAACAAACTGAAGAGCTCCCCCAATACTGCGATACTCATATGGATCAGCAAATAACTCCCCATCAAGCTGAGATAATGTAGCTTTATTATCAACAGGAGTGATAGCAGGATTAGCAGAAGCAAGATGACATCGGTCAAGAAGATTGGCAATGTACTTCGACTGTGACAGAAAGAGACCATAAATAGCTAAAATCTAAGAATATCCGTATACCAACCAAGCTGTGAAAATCATTTATTAGCTGGAAACAAAACCGTCAAACAGGCATATTCTGAAAAACAGGGATTTTGAAAACGATTGTTACTGCCATGCAATATTCTCGACCCTAAAGGAATCATATATTCTCTAGCTAAACCACAAAATGTTTCTTTCACGGTCAAATTCACAACACAGACTTTTTATTCTGTTTAGTCCCTAAACAGGTTGGAGTTAAAAAATTAGAAACATTTTTTCATATATTGCTGACTGTAGTAGTGTTTCTTTTTATGTATTTCATGCATGAATCTGGCAACGGATAGCTGGATAGATATCACAATTGCAATCGTATTTCGTGTAGCTATATATTACAAACTACGGTTATATTCTTAAGAAAATTGTATTCGGTTATAACCAAGATGCTGCAAATTAAACTATCAATAGCTAGCGTTCGCCTCACCTCAAGATGGTCACTTAACCTTACATCAAACACCAACGAAACAAATGGAAAAACAAATACAGGGAAAAGGGAGAATTTCAATAAGAAAGAAGGATTCAGTGAGCACTATTTCACATTGCAGGTTATTGTTTGCATCAGACCTTGAATTTATTGAAGATATTGACGAGATATATTGTTCTTGGTTGTTTTTCAGCATCATACAAAAATCCAAATCATTCTAACGAGGCAAATATATATGAAGCTTCAATTTCAACGAGTTGTTGAGTCAAAAATAGACAGGTCTGATGTAACATAAAATATTGGCATTAATTATTGGAGCGGATCCAAAATCTTACCATAAAAAAGTAATTAAAAGTAACCATTCCCATTGCAACAAGCAAGAAAGTTCAATATTTCATCATGGAAACAAACACCTTAGTGAGAGAATGTCTCTTTGTACAAAGATGTACGTCGGTCGTATTCCTATTCCTGTTTGAATAACTGACAAGCGACTTGAACTGCGATGTTGTTTCCCTCTTGATTGGATCATATAAATCTTAAAAATGTTCGTTTGCTCCGCCAAATCCTTCGGAGGAAATTCAACAACAGAAATCAAAACCTTTCCATCAAGGAGTATACGGAAGTACTCGTTATGCATCACAGCTGGTTCCAGAATACGAATCGAAGATTCATCCTTTATCTTCGTTGATGACGGAGCACCAGGAAAAGGCACGATTCTGTATTCATTTTTTAAACTTTCTTCCACATACAAAGACACAGTAGGTCCAAAACGCAATATGTGCGAACTGTACATCATAGCATCGTATCTTGGGAGAATGTAAAACTTCTCCTCAGACAGATCGAACGTGGAAATTCCCCAGTCTGAGTTATGATGATCCATGCATAGAACGCCATTGTCGGTTAATGAACATATCCAGAACAAATCCTCGTCTCTCTAGACAAGCAATCATTCATCATGACAATTCCTACGCCCGCAGTGACATTCCTCCAACTGTCAGAATCTCCCAATCAGCAATATCTTTGGTGCCGCATCCTATATATTAAGAGGATAAGCTTTTAGGACACGTGTCACATAATGAGATGTCCAATAAAACCTTCATAAAAATTAGACTCAATTAGATATAGTAAATTTTTATTGTAACAACTTAATTTTACTTATTTACGCATACACCTGATTATTTAACCAGGTAAAAAAACAAAATAGCCCTTTCACTTAATTACATATATGTCTCTAGCGTTAATGCAAATAAACATGGATGAAATTTCAGTTTCACAATTGTCCTATCCTTAACTATTTTAGGTATGTATTGATTATCCCATTTCAAATACCATTTTAAAAAAAATCTTATGACCCATAATTCCGTTCAGATTCAAACTACAATTAATGTACCAAAATTTCAAATCAGTTTCCCATACTTACTGAATCATAAAATGGAAATCAAAATAATTAATTATTATTGGAAGCAAAGATTAGGCGTGACTCATGCGGCTTATGTGATTCAGGAATTTACGCAACGTAAACGATGCCCAAGTCCCAGGCCAATCTTTCCAAAAATTATTCCATGATTACTATTTTTTGGATAATTATTAAATTTTCTCATTCTTACTAAATCAAAAATTTGGACATTCTTACTATATCAAAACTTGAAATCAAATTAAATCTTTATTAATATAATCTAAGCGCGCCAATCATAGCACACAAATTTCACGGTTTGACCACATAAATATTCTCCCCTAATCCAAAAAAAATGGTGCATTATCCAAATAAAAACAAATTACGGAACTTTCATTACCTATAAATATTTAGCATATGATTTGAATCAAAACACACACCAAAATACACTCACATCCGTATTGGTTTTGTATATCATGTCTTCCAAATTTAATTTTCTCAACGAGCTCGATAATAGCCGAGAAGTTGGATGGAATGTCCGAGTTCGTCTTCTACGCGTGTGGACAAAGATGGATTTCAATGATGATAATGAAATCTCCATGATTGAGAGCGTCTTAATGGATGAAAAGGTAAATTGCACCTATTATTAAAAAATATTTTATATATATATATATATTCATATATACACACCTGTCATTGTGATTATTTGATTACTAAAATTTTATTTTCTTTGTTGTATTATTATTTCGCAGGGCAATAGGGTCGTTGCTGAAATTAAAAAAGACCTGATATACAAGTTTCAAGATCCCATGAAGGAGGGAGAGTACAAACAAATAAGCCATTGTGGTACGGCTACTGACAAAGAGCTCCAAAGATATAGTGATAACAAATACAAAATAATATTCAAACGCAGTACCAAGATTGCGACAATTCCCGAGTTTGTGGATCGTCCTTATATTGGTGAATATGATTTTCAATTCCCGAAATTTGCTGATATCATAAACAAAAGGGTGAATGAATCTTTACTGATAGGTTGTCTTTTCTACATTATATATGACTCCACAAGTATTACTAAATATTTAGACAAATTAATCCAATAATTCTCCTTTTTCCAGATGTCATAGGTGAAATAGTGGTTGTAGGCAAAAGGCAAAAAATTCACTTAAAGATTATTAAAAAAAATTCCCGCTCAAGTATATTGAAATATTTTCATATCCCGGGCAACGCACGGGTCCACCACTAGTACTCTCAACAACTTGTAAACATTATAAACTGGATCGAAAACAAAGATGGTATTGACACCATTCGCGTTCACAACATCTCGAATCAGGATTTTAGTTCACAACATCTCGAAAACTATATTTTATCACAAAATCGAGAAGCAAACAATAGTCAACGAAAGGAGAGTTTCATTAAAGAAGATCACTTTACATTGACCTGAGAATTATTCATTGAAGATATGTGCATACAAATTGGTGTACTATTGAGAAAGCTTGTGTTAGGGAAATATGTAAATCTTGCAGTTGAGGGACAAATATATATTAATCAGGGATGAGAATTAAACGAGTTCTCTAATAACGGAAGACAAGTTTGATTTAAATCCAACGAAACATACATATTCTGCAAGAAACCAACCTCAACCGTAATCTCTGAAGAATCAGAAGCTTGCATAGTTTATTTAGAATTACTACAATGTAATGGAACCAAGCATTTGAGTGAAATTACGTTCTCTTTAGTGTCCAGTTTGATATTTCACTTTTAGTACAATTTGAACGAAAAATGAAAACTCATACTAAACAATAATTTCGGGATGGAGGAAGTATAATTTATCAAAAGTAGAAACTAATATAAGTAGAAGTAATGATATTATGGAATCAAACACCTCAGTGGGAGGATATTTTCTTCCTAATAAGACGCGTATTTAGCACGGTAAACCTGGTATTCTCCAATCTCGATTCTTTTCTACTTCCTCTTTCCACGGATCGTATATATGAAAATTCAGAGCTCCGTTATGCAGAAAGGTTGGAGGACGAAGGTTTTGAGCATGATGCATCAACACCTTCCCATTCGGAAGCAAACCCGTGATATGCATAGTAGGAAACCCGAACGTCGGTATCTCATTTAATTGTTCGGCCGCAACGAAGTTGGCTCTATCACTATGATGATATGAGATGATTCTAAAATTTCTTTCTTTGTAGTTGTAAGCAGACAGAACTGGTCCAAAACGTAATAACTGCCAAAACTCCTTTGCTCCTCCAAAGCAGAGGATCTCGCAACGCAGCTCTAAAGGACCCTGAACCATTGGGTCCTGTTTGAGACTGTATATTCTTAGCAGCTTGTAAAGGTTACCAACTGGATCAAACCCAAGACTGTAAACACAAGTCCCGTATTCCATTTCCGAATCAGACGAATCGGGAAGTTGTCAAGTTTCCCGGGTGGCGATATTGTGCAGGTAGGAACGATTGTCCTTGTAGAAACACACCAATCCATTGGCCTGATTGGTTAGTCTAAAATATGCGTCGCCCAATGGAACTGCATAGGTTATGTGTTGACGAGAAATTGGTTGGCTTCCGTCAATGCTTATCTTAACAAATTTCAATTCGGGATTTATCTTGATCTGGGTCCAATCGATCTGGGTGGAATAGTGTTGACGCGAAATTAGTTGGCTCTGAACAAAATTCAATCTGGGAAGTTTTCTGATCTTGGTCAAATTTTTCAGGACCGGATCCCCTTAAGGAGCACCATGGTTACGGATGTGCTCCCTGATGATTTCGCGCATTTGGAAGATTGGATCTGCAAAAACAAGAAGCCCTTTAACAGCACCGCCGTTGAGGCGCTGATGCAATGCGGGACGGATGGATCCGAAATAATTGAACGCCAGAGTTGACAGACGGACTTGGATCGCAGAAGTGATTTGGTCGGAAGATATGGTAGGATCTCCTGAACCAATTCCTTTGGGAGGAGCTGATCGCCGTGGAAACGGCGTTTGCCGGCTGATGACTGATGGGAACAATTCGCTGCCATCATTAGTTTAAAATGCTCCTCTATTCGGAAGGCTAAACCCTACATAATAATAACAATAGTACCACAACATTACTTTTTTCCCCTTTTGTTAATGAAAGTGCCGGGCACATAATCCTGATGCAATACTACCACAACATTTTTTTTTCTTTTTTTGCAAATGATTTCGAAAAGTAAAAAACCTATATAAGATGGTCCACAGTTTATTATCATTCCCTCCATCACAATTGATTTTTTAAAATATATCATATAACATAATTGTGGATACTTTGTTTCCTATCAAACCGTTTTAAAAAGCATTAAAAAGAGAGTGATAAAAATCACTAATTTATGCTCTAAGGATTTAGGTTTATACAGTCAAACAAGATCCAAGTTTGGTTATATCTTTAGGATATGGGTGTGTTTACCTCATGACATTAGAACATGTATATACAAAAGTTAAAAAATGCTCCATCTCTTAAGACTAATAATACATCAATTTCTTAGAATTATGGAACAATGATACAATGAAAGTTTCAAGTACTCCTCTGGTCCTTATTATAATGCATTTTGATTTGTCCTAGATTTCATTAAAGTTTTACCTAGTAGATTTTTTCGATTGAAAAAAAAATATTAAAAATAATTATTAATAATTAAAAGAACAGTGAATGTGAAAATGTAGTTTTAAGATATTTTTTTTCAAAAACAAAAACATATTAAGTGAAATTAGGACAAATCAAAATGCCTAAGGACCTGGGAGAGTTTTAAAGAATGCTCATGTATAACAGCAAAGGTTGAAACAAGACAAATCAAAATATCTTATAATAAGTACCTGTGAGAGTTTTAAAGAATGCTCATATATAACAGCAAAGGTTGAAACAAGATTCTATAAACTTGGAAAACATAAATGTAGTGAGCTTTAGATGTCGTGTCCTTTGCTTAGTTTTTTTTTGAAACAACCTATTAGTTTTTGTCAGGAATTCCGTCCTGATATAAGGTCTAAAAAGTTCCAATAGCAAGCCCAATAAGTAAATCTCACCTCAACCTAAAATCTCAAGGTAATATATTTTGGGATCAACTTACTTATTAATTACTCACTATTTCTCCGAGATATCGATGTGGGACAATTAACCTACTCATGACCTCAACAATCTTTCTGTCATGAGTAACTTACCACATGAAAGCTCAATTCCTTTTTTCGGTTGTACCGCACCAATTCCACCTCTGCTCCAAGTCGAAAAGGCGACAATTTATCCAGCTCTACTTCAAGTCGAAAAGGCAACAACATGCTCATATCTTACTAAGTAGCTTAGTAATCACTTTAAAAATCCTATACAGCAAGCTATCAGTCTATACTCCCTAGCATCCCTAGGATTTGCATTTTTGGGGATCAGAGCTATCAGGGTAGCATTTACCTATTTTTACATCTTACCAATTTGGAAAAATTTCTAAAAAAAAGCACAAACATCCTCTCCTACAACATCCCATGCATATTTATAAAACTCGTTGTTATATCAATCAGGACCAGCTGACTTATTTTTATCTATGCTAAATAAGGCCTCTTTAATTTCATCTGTAGTGAAATCCATAACCGGGAGAATCTGCCGGTATACACTCAGTTTAATCTGTGAGTTATATATTTCACTAGCGGCTGAAACACAAGTTTTCTCGATACCCAACAATTGAATATAGTAGTCTAGAAAATGTTGTTTTACCTGAGTCCAGTCTTCAATGATGTTACCGTATTGATCTGTGTAGTAGAGAAGCCTATTTTGTTTTCTTAGTTGTCGTATGCAAGAGTGGAAATATTTTGTGTTGCGGTCCCCCTCCTGTACCCATTTTCCCTTCATTCTTTCGCTCCAGAAGCTTACAATTAGTTTACTGCATTCTATATATTCTTTTGTTAGACTCCTCTCTTCCTCCTACATGACTATATTTTTCGGATCATCCTGTAGTTGATCTTGTACGTCCTCTAGTTTCTTCTTTTTTGTTTGTTCAATTATCTCAACATTACTGAAACATTTTTTCTTAGTCCTCTTAATTTTGGCTTCAATCTCTTCTGTTTTTTGTACTAACAGAAATCGTTTGGAACCCGTTTCCTCTGTAATCCATTCTTCCTTGATGAGTACATTGAAATCAGGATAAAGAACCCACATATTAAAAAATATGAATGCTTTACTGCATGTATCCTCTCCGTCACTCCATCTTACTAACAATGGACTATGATATGAAATGCCAGCTTGCAGAACCCTGGTTGTGGCATCTAGAAACTCTTCTAACCATTTTTCATTTATAAGTGGCCTGTCAAGTTTGGACATGATTCTGTCACCTCTCAGTTATTTATTACTCCAGGTGAATTAAGAACCTAGAGCCTTCATTCCCATACGATCACATTGATCCGCGACCATTTTGAAAAAATATGTATCTGACCTGACCCCATTTGTTCCTCCTACCTTTTTATCAGGTTGAAAAATGCAATTGTAATCTCCTATCAGAAGCCATGTTTTGTCTATCCTGCCAGCCGTATCCATCACTTTATTCCAAAGCTCCATTCTACCTTGTGATTGATGATCTGCATAGATCACTGTGAGTTCAAAGATTCTGTTATGATTTAACTCTTAAAATGAATAGTGTATCAGATGTTCCTCTATTCTGATATTACTCATCCTATAGTTTCCTTTCTGCCATATTAGCATCATTCTCCCCTTTTTCCCCAACTTTATTATTACTGATGTATTCAAACTTGCTCCATTTCCCAGCCAATAGTTCTTGCACCTGAGAATCCACTAAGCTTAGTTTCGACGAAACCAGCAATTCCAGTCCTATGTCTCATTGAGTTCATTTTGTCCATTTTAAGTGGCTTGCCAATAATGCTTGTAATTCTACTCAACGTCTTGGCATTCTAGTATTTCAACTGCAACTTGGGAAGTTATAGCCATACAGGCACCTTACAGAGATCTTCAATGTTGAAACCTTCTTCTACAAACCAATCTTTAACTATCAAAGGTTGGTTCTCATGAAAGAAACTTTCTTTCAGGATTTCTTCTTTTGTTGTAGTAGAATGAAATCTAACCACATATAATCCATTATCCATAAGCAATACTTTATCCACCCCACTTCCCCCAAATTCTTCTCAAATATCCATTAACCACAAACCAAACTTGTGCTCCAAGAATAGAGCAGATTAGCGAAGGACGCCAGTAGTCAATATATCTTGGATTTCTTCTCTTTGAATTTTAGCAATGGTTTTATCCCGCGCTCTAACATGCTCAATATATTTCTTCAATTCAGATTTCCCCAAACATTAGAAGCCCAAGATCCAAAATTATCTATGTTTGAATCCTCAAGAATTTCATATGAAACTCCTATTTGAACAATTTTATGACTGCATAGTTGTTCAAGAGCAGTAGAATTCTTATCAATTGATTTCCGAGTTGAATTAGGGCTAGTTATCTTCTTCAATGAACTGCTACTTCCGATTGCGGACATCTTTCCTCCTCTGGCTGCACAATCTTCTCTGCGACTTTCCCCTCTTCCTCAACTTTCCTACCATCATGGGTACGTGGATCAATGCGCCAAAAGTTGAAGATAAATCTCACACGATGGATGTGAAATCGTTCTCGGTGCTCAAAGAGAGTTAATCCTTTGATAAAATTAAAAAACATTATTTATGCTCTATGGATTTAGGTTTATGCAATCAAACAAGATCCAAGTTTGGCTATACCTTTGGAGTATGGGTGTGTTGACCTTCAGACATTATGGACCTTGTGACATTAGAACATGTAGTATATACAAGTATTGAAGAATGCTTATGTCTTTTACGATTAATGCATCCATTTCTTGTAAGTGATTAGAAATAACACAATGGAAGCTATCATTTTTTTTCTTTAGAATTCACCCAAGTAGACCATATTTAAATATGGGTAAAACCCTCCCTTATAACCCCTAGTGGGAATTGAACCCTGGTCTATCACCAGGAAAGACAACAACCTAACCACTAGATTGTCATTCAATTCTCCAATGGAAGCTATCGTTACTCCTTCTTTTTGTAAATAAAATTCATTGATCATAATTTTTATATATTTTCTCTATTCTAAAAAAATAATCTATAATGAGTTTTGAGATTTATACTAAAACTAGTAAAAATTCGATATGAACTATATTTTGCGAGGACCCTAAATGTCAAAATAGACCATGTTTGACTCATCTCTCAAGTTATATAAAGGAACCAGCTGCAGAAAATTCCTATGTAATTCAAAATTCCAAATTACAATCCCACGTAGTTCAAAGTTACCAACATCATTCTTCTTCTTAAAAAAAAAAAAAAAAAAAAGGTTACCAACATCAACTCGTACCGCTTAATTGAAATCTGAATCTAATCTAGTGAAAATAAGAATACTATAGAATCAAACACTTTAGTGGGATGATATTTTCTTCGTAATAAGATGTGAATATTCATGTTTGAATGATTGTATTCTGGAATCATGATGGTGTTTTCTATATATATCCTCCTTAAATGGATCATATACATCACAAAAATGAATTCCTTCACATTTGGAGGAGAAACCCTTTCAACATGATACGTCAATAACTTCCGATTAGGAAGTATCTTTCTTCAAACAGATCGAAAGCGCAAATTCTTCCGTTCCTTCCCCTCATCTCATCCCTCCACTCACAGTCATACCAGTAAAAAATCCCATTGTAACAAACGCTGCAAAACCCGTAGGAGTTAAAAGAGTTTCTTACTGGAAAAAAAAAAAACTTAAAAAGACATTATTATTGGGGGAAAAAAAAAAGAAAAGAAAATAGTAGTATAGTAAAATTCAAAATTACAGTCCCATATAACCTAAAGTCCCAGTACCACTTAATTGTAAGCAGAAACGAAATCTAGTGAAAGGAAGAATATTACGGAATAAAACACTGAAGTGGGATGATATTTTTCTCTTAGTAGCACATCTTCAACATATTGTAGGTTGGGGATGGCTCTTGACTCTGGGAGTAGCCAATATCTTGGGATCTCGCGGTAAAAGAAATGGGAAAGAAAGAAAAAGATAAAATATAACTGAATCATGGTTTTCTAGGCGATCTCTAATAAGAAATTCAAGGTTTGGATTAATAACGACTAATCAGAAAAGGGACAAAAAATGAAGGAGTATTAGCTAAAACTTTCAAATCACCATCCATTGTTAACTATACATTATTTTGTGGAAGAAAGGTTTTTTTTCCCCAAAACTATGAAGATGCAACTAAAATTCATGTTTTCATCATTATATTTTGATTTGTTAAAACGGATTTGGTAATTGTGTTGGTGTAGTTTTCCTTCATGAAGAGAAAAACAAAATCCGGATAAATAACTTAACTAATTTCGGCGGAATGAGAGAGAAATGGACTTTGAATTCATAAAGGGTAATTTTGAAAAATAAAGACAAATTTGCAATTGATGCTAAACTTGTTGTGGCAGACTTGTTGTGGCAGAATCATCGACCTTAATAGAAATGGTAAAAAAGAAAAAGAAAGTCAAAAAAAACAACTGCATCATTAATTTCTCTTGTGTTTGCTAGTTTGAAGATTGTTAACATAATTCTGATGTCTCGCCAGTTGAATATCGTTGGTCGGAAGGTATGATAGTATCTCCTGAACCAATACCGTCGGGAGGAGGTGATCACCGTGAAAAAGGCGTTTGCCGGCGGATGGATGAGAACAATTCGCTGCCATAATTATTGGTTTTTTGTGTTTCTATATACAGAGTAGAATAAACTGTATCATGTTTTACTAACACTCAACAGTCAACATACTCTTCAATGGTTCTCATATTATTATAACTCCCTCCGTCACAATTGGGTTTTGATTTTTGGTACGAATATATTAAAAATAAAAATCTAAACTAAATAATTATTTTTGAATAAAGAAAATGGGTGTGTTGACCTCGACATATTATGGACCTTACATGTAAACAAATATATTAAAGAAAGCTCACCTTTTTAACGATTACTGCATCAATTTGTTATAACTCAGGAATAATACATTGGAAGTAGCATTACTCCTTTGTATATAAATTCATTTGATCATGATTTTTATACACCAAGCAACCAACCCCTAAATGTTGAAATATACAGTGTATGACTCATCCCTCAAGCTATATAAAGGAACCAGAAGAAAGTTCCTGTGTGCCCCTTTTGCAACAAAGCTAATAGGATGGTATTCATTGATCCCATTTTCCATCTTAAAGCTTACTGCCTGAGAGAAACCAGCATTTGAAGATCCTGAGTTGCAGCCAAGACTTATGCTATTTGCACCTGATTTTTCATTTATGCCACTTGATATGTAACACCCCTTCTTGTTTGCTGCTTCTAGAGTCACTGTCCCGCCTGTTCCATCCAACCCAGCAAGCAAATGAAAGACGGAACTGTCGGTGGATTCACTTGAGACCAAAAGCGGTTTGCCTGCACCTTGATGTGTCAGGAGCATACCAGGAAGTCCGTATGGCTCTAGCATGATTGATTTGCCAATGGCATCTCGTGGTGATGAGAAATTTGCATTCGAGTCTTTTAGTATAATTCTGAATGTAGCATTAACAGCATCATCTGTTCCAGGTTCAGGCGTATCTTGCAATCTCACTGAATCAATGGATGCAGCCAGGGAAAATGATTCTTGAGAAAGCGAGATAAGGTGATCATTATAGTCAGCTTTAATTGGTACAATCCAGTTGCTAAGCGATGCATTTGCATCTGCATTCATGTCCCAGTCCCCTTTGGACAAACCGGCAAGCAGATAAGGACCATAAAGAATTGCATGGAGAGAAGAAAATTCTTTTCTATCATCTGGCACAAAATTCAGATCAAATTTGTTAGCTTCATTCAGAATGGAAGAGATACAGTGCCCTACACTAGAGAAAAAGAAAGCTTAAAAGAACACTGCTATAGAGCATACCATTGATGGCTTCAAGACGAAGACTCATGGGAAACTCCAGAGTGATTTTATCCCCTGAACTCCACTCTTTTGTGACTGAAAGGAAATTCCCTGCAATGATAATGGGATGCAAGTGGATTGTAATTATCAAACTACGAAGATATGAAACTTAACTATTCAAAAGTGACATTTATGTGGAGATAATACGAGAACAAAATGAACGTACCAGGTGCTGGTAAATCTAAGTTGTGGTTATTCAGAAGTGCCTTTGCAGATTTTGTATCTGTCCAAGTCGGCATCCTTAAATTCAAAGTAGCCTTCACACTCCCTGCCTGCTACGTGAGACAGATGCAAGTAATTAATTGTTGTCATCAGACTTTAGTTAAAACGCTGACGCAAGAATACATTAAGTATCAGGTAAGAACCAGATGAGAAACTGTTTAATAGACAGCTGTAGATAAAGCTTTATTATAGAGGTGGTCTCTGCAAACACATTTTAACTTTCTCAAACAAACAAGTTACTCCAAAAAACTACAGGGCTACATGTTCAAGGTTTCTACCATTTATTTGTGGGCAGCACGGAAGCATGATCATCAAAACCAAGAGAAGCAAGTCACGACGGATAACACGTGAACTTATTCAACTCTTAACATAGAGATTTCCAGTTCTCTGACATACGCAATTTACATGGACGGAAAACATACCCGTGAAGTAATGGCTACAGTCACTCCGGCATTCTTCTTCCAGGAGACAACTGGATTCATTGTCAAGTCAAGCTGAATTCCCCCAGATTTCCATTGCAACGAGCTTGGTATGTACTGAATTATGTATAACCCTGGAACCTCTCCCTCCTCTTCAAAGTATATCGAATCTCCTAACTTCGAGAATGACTCAATCCCTAAGTAGATAAGGTAAAGTAGACAAATTTATCAAGATAAGTATATTGAAGAATCAAGAAAAGTAGACATTTATCAGCAACATTAATTCAGTGAAATCCCCACGGGAGAGATCTTATCATAACTTTTAGAAACCCAAGGTATTATGTGACGTATCTCAAAAGGTACATGTTGTTTTTTCAAGTCATTATAATTCTCCAAAGTAGGAATTTGTTGTCCATGCAAAGTTAAAGTCACTAGAAGAAGTTGCTGAAACGAAGAACTGGAGGGTACATGTTTGAGGCTAGTGTTCATACCTGTTCCGTAGCAGCACCAGAAGGATTCGAATTTTGTTCCCCACTTGTGGTAGCTGACAGCTTTAGAACCACCTGGCATTAGAGGAAGCATATATATCATAACACCAGGTTCTCTTCCTCTTTGGATGCTCAGTACTCCATTTATCAAGGCTCGTTCGTAGTAATCTGCATACCTCATTTCTTTGGTCCACCTAAACAAATTGCGAGAAACCTACAATGGGAATAGAATTGGAAAACTTGCTTGAAACCATGTAAAACTCATTGAAGATGTAAAACATGAGGCAAAGGAGATGAAAAGGAAACATAAAGAAAAGAACAAAATACAGAGAAATCATCTTGCGATTCCCCTCCAGCAGTTGAAGGACCAGGCCTGCCAAAACCAGGAAAAAGAAGAATTTTAAAGCACACCTTCAACATGTTGTAGGTTGTACACGACTCTTCATTCTCAGTATGTAGAGTGGTTGCCAGTCTCTTTGGATCTGACCTACTCAAGCACAAACAAGAAAAACAGGAAAATCAAACCAAAAAAAAAAAAGGAAAAGGGAAGAAGCCCCTTCAATATGCTTGTGAGAGGACAAAAATTCATCAATAACCAACGGCTTTTTAGTCAGAAGATTATACCAAAATTCACTAACTGATGTCCCTCCAGTTGCATATGAATGGGAAGAGTTGATCATGTCCATGAAGAATGTCCCAATCTCCTATTAAAAGCAACATAACCAAGATATAAGACGCTTAAAAGATTATTAGATTTTTTTCTTGCGCCAAACAGCCTTTCTGCTGAAAATTCCAGCGTTATGGTTGACAAAGCAAAGTCAATTTTGATTCTATAGTGAAGTGCATTATTTTGCTCTCCAGACATGTTAACAGTCCTAAAGTCTTTTTGTAAACAAAACATGTCAAAACTATATTTTAATACAGAGTTGTTCCCCTTAAATATCATGGCTGAAAGTGGAAGCCAAGTTTAGCAATCACACTGATAATGAAAGGCATTACCTTATACAAAGGATCACCAGTAACCTCGTAGCGCATTTGAGCACCAATAACCACCGGAATGTGTGTATTAGAATGGAAACCAGATATGTCATCTGCCTGGAAAATCAAACAAATGAAGAAGTAAAACTCTTTCCTTTGCATGTTACTTCACTAAATAGAAGTGGATAGTACACTATTTCAGAGAAAAGGTGAATATAATTCTCAGGAATGGCGTCCCTATGATATTCTCTCCTTTTCCCAGGACAATACAAGGAAAACAAACTAAAATCACGTAGTCCGTCAATACTCAAATGTCCATCTGTAACATCTATCCCTGTACAAATGGCATGCAGTGTTCTGTCTTTCTTTAGTGGTTTTCTGTTGCAGTCTGGGAAGAAATTATTTTTAAGCAAGAATATCAACTTAATCAGAACCAAATAGCCCTCTGGGACAGCTCTGCAGTCATGATTTCATGATAAATACTCCTTAATGAGAGCAATTTTTCCAAGACGGTTACTCTGGCATCTTAATTCGATTCAATTTCCATAGACATATTATGAGGCAAATTTACAGCATCACCTGTAGTAGTATACCAATCAGCCATTGACCAAAATGTTCATTTTCAGAGGTAAACATATTCCTTCAACCAGTAAATCCTCATAAAAAATTTGGCCTTCCCTTGATAAAAGGGAGCTCATATTGCCAGAAAATCAATCACACAGTAGCAAAAGGAAATTTCCAAATTCAAAGAATAGAAAAGCTACCTGAACTGCGAGTTCTCCCAGAAAGCATGGTTTGTCAAAAAGGTGAGCCAGGATTAAGTGCTTTGAATCCCCCTGAAACAGGGAAAAAGGTCAATTAGTAAGAAGAAACATCTCCAGCTATTTTATCGGAAGAAAAAAAGGGTGCAAAGAAACACAAATGTGATTGACAAGCTAGGACTCAACCAAAGTTTTACTTCATCACTTAAAACTACTCCAATAATAGTACCTTTTTTTTGCTACTTTATACAGTCATAGGAAAGAAAGTGTTAAAGTTGTTTGCTTGCTAGTTATGACAAAGGTGTCTAGACTAGTGAGAGTTTAGAATACTGTTGCAAAACAGATAGGACTTCCTTGTGTGTGGTTGAATTTGAAACCTCATGATCCACTGGAAACTTAAGGAGACATTACGCACCGTTATTTTGTATAGCCTATAAAGAATATCGTTCATGCCACCCGTCTCTTCGTTGAGGCAAGCCCATTGTCTTTGAATAGAGTACTTCAAAACCACATTTTGTACACGATTATAGTGATAGTCAACCATCCATTTTAACATTCTGAAGGCATCCTCATTACCAGCCAATATGTACTGATCCAGAAGACCTGCCATTATCTATTGAAAAGTATTTCAGCATTCAGAATGTGGAGTGTGGACATTAATCTAATCTTAAACTTTTATGAAAGTGAAGTGTGTAGAAATATCGGTTTCTACCTTGTGAATTGTATAATATGGCGCCCAAACTGTTTCTAAAGCTTCGAATCTGTCAAAGAATTCAGTAGGGAAAGCAGAAAGATATCCTGTACCCATTTTCTGCTGACATTCGGATAGACTAGAAACCACCGCATACATCTTCGTTTTCAGAGTATCATTGTTGGTGCTTGCCCACATTTGCGCAGAGGCACTCAAAAAATGTCCTTCAGGATGTTTAAACACAATGTCAGATTAATATAATTACCAAATACAGCTTCAGTCAGAACTTAAATTCATGGAGCTACAATAGACTGGTTATCTTCAACATATGGATAAAAACCATAATCAAGACTATTACATCCCGGGATTTTCCTGGGACTTTGATGGTGGTGCACCACCCGAAGGATCTGCTACATGATTATCAAGCACTAAAGATATCATGGGTCACAATTCCTACTTCCTCAAAATGTCCAAACTCCACAAGTAGAATAATGCAGCAAAAATGATTCTGGAACAGAATGCTGCTGCATACATGAGAATTGTCATAATCGTTAAGGCAGAATCATTTTCGCTGCATCATTACAAATGATTCATATACAGCATCTATAGCATTCATATACAAATCATCTTTCTTTATTCTTATGCTGCAAATAACACACAATTTTAGCTTCTAAAATGGGCTATCTTGTCCTTGTTATATATCCCTACTACAGTAACCATGTGATGATGTAAACAAGTAAAATACAGAAATTCCATGAATATTAGTCAGGGATGTATGACAATCAGAAATGATCAAGACAGACAATTAACAATTAAAAGTACAATACTAACCTACAAAGTGACCGCGGAGCTCAGTGTCCTTAGCCTCCCACCCTTTATATGGCTCACCAGGAGTAGGCAAACCAGCAGTTTTCCTAAAACTCCACACTAAGCTATCAACATCCAACATCAACAAATACTCCAAATTAGTCTGCTGAGCTATTCCATAAATTGAGTCCGGTTCCAACCTCACATTGTTCAAAGGCACTTCCTTTAGAAATCCTCCACTCCCGTTAAACCCTTTATAATCCTTTATCTGTCTATATAACATCAGCCAACTAATTTGATCCCCCTGCCTCATCATCCTCCTTGGAAGCAAACTAGCCCAGTAAGAATCATCGGTGGGAGTCAAATGGTAGTGATTATGAGCTGATACCTCATTTTTCCAACTTTCATTTTTGGATGTCAGCAATGCATATCGATAAGTGTGTGATGATAATTCTGGAAAAGTGTTGGTGCATTCTCTGCACACAACACATTCAATCACCAAAGACAACAGAACCAAAGTAACTAACTCTGAAATCATAAAAAATCTCATCTTCTATGGGAGCTTTTAGAATTCCCAAAAGCTCCAACGGAATTTTCAACACTTGTACCCACAGGAAGTTACTAAAATCTCAAACTGACTCAAAGAGAATGAAGCTAGAAAATGACCGAAAAAACTATGGCTGCCACCCAAAACAACAGGATACTTATATACAAAGAATCAATCAATTGAGCCCACAAAACATTCACTCCCGTGAAGAGAGAAAAAATGGTTTCTGGAGTGTGGGAAAAAATCAAAAAAATTTAAGTCAGGAAAAAGAAGACAAAATTTCACCGATTCAAAACGATTCAGTGAATCCACAGAGCACACTCTGTTTGCTCTCAAAATCCAGAATTTAAGAATCTGATAGAAACCCTTTTGGCCCTTTATACAAAATATCTGAAATAATTAAACAAACTTCATGGCCGGGGAAGTATATGTTGCTATCCAAAATGGAAGGATAGTGACAAAGAATGGAGTTTAAGCCAAGAATTGCTGCCTTGTAAAAACAAAATCCCGCACCTACCACTATGCATATATGTACAGTCAACAGAGATCATTTATGGACCGTGAACATGATGATAGAATTGGTTTATGCACACACAAACACGCAATTATATACAAATGGGATAGAATTAATAATGAACAGATATGGACATGAAAGAATCACGGACGAATCTTATTGGGTTTTGATGGTTCTATAAGAGCTATAAGGACTAATAGAATGGAGTGAGGAAGTAATGATGACTAAGCAGTAATGTTGGAGTTAAAGTTTAACATTTTTTTTTCTTTTTAATCAGAATTTCAATATTTTTCTTTTTTTGGTCGAACAATAGTTTCTCTTCAAGAGTGATTAACTCACTAATTATAATCGATTAATAATTAAAAGTATAGAGAGTGGATTAATAATGATAAAGCTGAAGTTCCTACTCGTTTCGTCCGAAATGATTGTCCAATTTAGATATTTTATTTTTAATTAAAAATTTTACTAAAAATGATAATTCAAATTTGAAAATTCTTTTGAGACGTATGGAGTAAAAAAATTGACATTCCAAATAGTGTATGAATCACTTGTATGTTAAATTCAGTAAATAGCTACTGAAGTTATAAAAACTACTAATAAATTATTAACTTACCAATCAATATCCTACTATATTAGAAACAAAAACCTCCCTTTCAAACATCTCATATGATTGCCACGTGGCATATAGAAAATACTAAATTGCCCTTTTGTCTAACCATAACTAAATTACTAAATCTCCCTTTGCACTTTACGTGACACGTTTTTTTTTTAATTTTTTCTTTATGTTTCATTCAACTAGAGTGGTTTTTTAAATTGAATTGATCAATTAGGTTTTTTGTTATAAAGTGTCAATTTTGTTTTAAGCGTATACCCTTTGGATAAAGCTTATTATAAAGCTATTAAAAATCTCCAAAACTAAGTATTGATTTGGCACAACCAATGGAGAACATCAATAAATCATCTTACTAATATTTAAATTGATTAGGATGCTTTTATATTTTATCTAACATTTACTTCAACACATATATTCGATTAAGCTATTTATATTTAATAAGTAACACTTATAAAACATTTCTAAAACATACATGGCGAAATACAATTTTTTTTTTTTTTTTGCGAAATACAAATATTTCTATGATCACACTTATAAAACATTTCTAAATCCTTCAAACATTTCTAAAATATATCGCTCCAAATACAAAATTTTATTTTTTTCAAATATAAACATTTCTAAGATCTACAGATAGACTGGGCCAGGGTCGCGCATTGCGCGACCAGACATCACTAGTGCTAAAAGAAACCATTTCAAAAAATAATGCTATAATTATTATAATTTTTATGTGCATTTAATATAGGTTAACTATTGAGATATAGATGATGGAGTCTCGTGGACGAGTTTAAGTTAAGTATACGGTCATTATGAAACAATAATTTGCATATTTTTAAGAAAAAAATTATTTTTTATCAATATTTTTGTAATCGTCAATTGACAGATACACAAATAATTACAACAATTACCATGATATGAATCGAAATTCTTGATTTTGATATGTTCCATGTATGGATTACTAACTACAAAGGTAATTCATATTTTGTTGAATCTAAATTGGACTGTATCTATATATCCATAATCAAGAAAGATAAGACTTTCATTAATGCAAGAGATAAAGGTCTTACTATTATTTTCTAGATTCAAGGAATATTATTGGCTCTCATCTCATTCATCTCAATCTTTATCTCAAAAGTAAAGTAAATGTTCGATACTAATGTGTGCCCGATCTACCAAACAATTAAGCCTAAAATGGGCTCCATGAAGATATTCAGAAGTATTAAACAGATTAAGGTCTTTTATAGGATTAGCCGATAAAATTTAAAATATATATATTTGAATTATAGACTTTTAGTTGGTATTGAAATACTCTTTCTATCTTATAAGAAGAACCTTATTTAATGAACTAAAACAAAACAATAAACAGTATTTTTAGTATAGGAAGATTTTTATGTTTGTAGTGAAACCTTTTAATTTGACTTGATTTAGAACATATTCACGTATTCTAATAGTCATTTACTTTTTAAATCGCTCTAACCAAGACACAACTTCACTCTATATGTTTTCTTTAAAAAAAAAAAAGTACTTATATATTAGTTAAGAAGTACCTAAACTTCACTTTAAATGTTTTCTTTCTTTTTTATTTTCTATTTCAACCAGTAAGTTTAATTGCCTGGTTCAAGCTTGGGTGTGATAGTTTATAATGGGTTTCATAAACTTTCTATGAGATTCATAGAATAGAGATATCAGTGGATATCAAAACTTTGCTTGGTTCACATATATAAAGATATTGGAATTAATTGAAATTACAATTTTATCCTATCTCTTACCCCTATACTTTCTACCTCCAGCACCATTTTTATTGCCGCTCCGCCGTTGCCTTATTTCCCCCACCACCATATCAACGTAACTGGGGAAATCCGAACCCAAGATTGAATCCAAAAATCAATCCACACCCAATTCTACTTGGATCCAACTAAGACATAAAGAAAAAAAAAGATGTGAACAAAGAATAATGATCAAACATCAAAGAATCTACACCCAAAATTCAAATTTTATTCCAATCTACTGTCTTAATTCTCAAGGCAAAGTCGACAAAAAGGAAAAAAAAAAACTCAAATTCATATACACAATGTGAAATCTGACTAAATTGGTGAACAAGACAGCAGTCAACCGCACTGTTTTTCCACCATTGTTGACTATGGAGCAATTTAATTTTTCCAGGTAAATAATTAACCACATAAATCGTTCATCCAAGAATGGCATTCAGATTGAAGAACGCATCTGATATGAGATAAAAATTTAATTGGGTTTCAAATTAGAGAAATGTGAGACAAAAAAAATTGCAGGGATGGAGGTGGCCGACGGGGAAAAAGAGGGCACAAGTAGTCAATTTTTACCAAGTTTATCATACCTTCCAAAATAAGAGGGAATGGGATTTTTGGATTCAATCCCAATTTTGTGGGTCCAGCCCATTCCCAATTCATGAACCAAGCATCAAAAATTACAAAAATGGGAATGAATCTTATAAATTGGGTTTGACACCACTGAACCAGACACTAGTATCCTATACCTATTCAGGAAGCCTGCCGACAAATTTTTTCTCCCTTGTTTGGGACAAAAACAAAACAAATTTTCATGATCTAATCAGGATGGGCCATTCTTAATGTTTCAATCATAGTAGTAAGTATCGTGAGATACGTATCTCACAATACGTATCAAAATTAAGGATTTCGATACGTATCATGTTATGTATCGCAATCGCTTGTGTATCGGTCAATTATCGATACGTATCGTACGATATATACGATACACGATACGATTGCGTATCGTACGATACAAAAACATAGGCAAAAAAATATATTATTAAAAAAATTTAAACTTTTGTTTTATAATAACCATTTAAATTTTAAATTAAGAGCGAATTTCATTTACAATTTGTTTTAAATAGATATTATTGATTTATTTCTATCACGAACATAATTTTTCTCAATTGAAGACAGAACCACTTAATAAATTATCATAGTCTAAAAAATAATAGATTTAAAAATATTATTTTATTCATAATATCATTTTCCAAATGAAGTATAATTAATAGCATGTTGAATAAATGCAATACATGTTTATATTAATTTTTCTCACTATTAAATTTATGGCTATAATAACAATTATCATGAAAACGATATTTATTACATAGGTTGTACGACCATTATTCATGTAATGAATGAGTAATTTGTGTAACTTTCAAATAATCTTGAATTCAACTTAATCAATTTATTTATTTATAGCTGAAAAATAAAAAAAAAAAGTATAAATATATCAATGACATATGGATTTTATGATATTTATTGTTTATTTTATACATATTATTATATTAAAATGTATCTTACGATACGATACACGATACGATACGCGTATCATAAATTTAGGTTTCCGATATACGATACGTATCACGATTTGATAACTATGGTTTCAATACAATAATCGTGGCCAATTATTGCATGAGTCTTTGAGTGTAGTAGGCCTCTACTTCAATAGTTCAACTTTCCAACTTGACAACAAATTCTTCTTTATACTTCTTCTATCTCAAAATATATATTCAATTTAAATTTTACTCTTAATTTATTTTACATTAAAAATAAAAATTCAAATTGGATAATAATTTAGGTCTCAAAATTATTATCCAATTTGCTTTTTCACTTTTAGTTTATTTTGTATTAATTAAAAATAAAAATTTAAACTGGATAATAATTTCGAGACAAAGGGAATAACTTTTTTAACCTCTTCAATTATTATAATTGAAGTTTTTTTTTTAAAAAAAAAACGACCTCAACGGACCCTACTTCAATGTGAGAAAAACACTCGTAATAAATCCTTTGGTAGGAATTAAATTTTTTCTGTTTTAAAGTTAAAAGGCATCCTTTAAAAACCCATTGGTTAAGAATTAAATCCTAGAGAAAATTGAATCTGATCTAATACAAAAAAAAAAAAACACTGTACTTTAATTACTACACTGCTATTATTAAAGTTAGTATTAATAGGCTCCCGTTTGATAATATTTAATTTGGGTCTGAAGTCTGAAATCTAAAAATTGAAACATAGTAGTGATCTGATTAAGTAAATATATTTTGTAGTAAATATATACTGGTCATAGAATTTATTTGGAATTTAATTTTTATATTAAAATAAATATTTAGTAAATAAAAAATAATTTATACAAATTTTAATTTATAACTAAACTTCAAGATTAATAAAAATGTTTCAAGATAAAACATCTAATTTATAACTAAACTTCAAGATTAATCAAAATGTTTCAAGATAAAACATCAAAAGCATATAATAAAACTATATAAATAGGAAAAATATCGTCTCACGAATTTAGTTTAGACATAAGTGATAGACTTATCACTTACTTTTAGACTCACATTTGTACTTGTATTTCAGACTCAGTTAATTTATTAAGACATCCTACTTTGAGTTACCAAACACACTTATAATTTAAGTCATTAATTAGTTAAGTTCTTAATCAATTAAATTGTTATGATATTATGTTATCAAACCGTGCTAATCAATTAAGCACTTAACCAATAAATTTAAGTGATGAATTAGTTTATCAAACAGGGCCTAAATTTCTTGTTATTTAAGCGGCCAATGATGCATAATGACAAAAGAGGTAAGAATTCGTAAGAATAAATAAAATGATAATGTACAGTAGAAACATATAAAAAGTAAGTTAAGATTGTTTTTAGGGTTAGACTCAAGAATAAATTTTTGTTTCCTCTGCACAAACCATCTCTATGATTTTGGAAAAATAAAACTTTTAAAATTTGTAATTCCTCTGTTCTAAAATTATTGTATTGTGGTTATGATTGAACCATTCGAAGTTGTTTCAAGCTACAATGATCACTTTATTAGTATAGCTCTTTCGCGTGATTTGACAGGTCTTGACATCTAGGATGAAGATTGAAACCCTCATTGAGGTTAAGATCAAACCTTGCAAAAAAAAAAAAAAAGAGAGAGAGAGAGAAAAAGAATTTCAGCAGAAACTCGTCGAGGCATCTGTCAAGTAAAGTAAGTTGACGAAAATGTCTGCGGGTGACGGGTTGAAGAAAAACATATTTTTAGTTTTGTGCAATTTAATTGGGCTTTGGGTTTTAGTTTTAGTATCTCCAAATTTTATTTAGGATATTTGGAGTTTAGAATATTCAATAGAATAATTGTTAATTTAGGCAATTATTTAATTTAATTTAATTAATTACAGTAAAAAATTACCAAAAAGTTGCACGTTGTCTTCATTTGATACCAAATACTTAAAAATAGACCGTAAGCCACCAGAAAGTTAAATAGTATCACCTTTTGGAGAACAGTTAAATTTCAACGTAAAAAGTAACGGCTAACGCACGTGGTGGAAGCGTGGATTGCCTGAAGGATATTTCCGTCTTTTAACAATATTAATAAGTTCATTGTGGTCATGTGACATGCACGTGATTCTCATTTAGGGGAGAAATTATTTAGAAATTTAAATTTTTTAGAAAAGTATTTATTAAAAATATTAAAATATTATTTTTAATAATTAATTTATTCCTGGATTTTTTTTTGTGGACTAACCTTTCCGGCCCAACTTTCAAGCCCTTGGCAATCAGACTTGGCCCAAGGTTTTTTTTATAGTTGAGGAACTTTCACTTGGGCTCAAACTTCAAAACAAAAAAATAAAAATAAATAAATCCAAGTTAAAAGAAATATAAAAGACAAAACCAAGATTAAAAGATAGCAACTTGTATTTTCTTTGTTATTTTCATCTGGGAGAGTTAAAAAAAAAAAAAAAAACAGGAACGACGAACTTTTCAAGGGGGGAAGATTAGGGTTTCAGAAAACAATCTTGTAGTTTGAAATTAGTAGTGAGAATAATATGAGTTGATTGTAAAAGGGCTTCGAATCAAGTGGAGGTGGGGTAATCAGTGGGTGAATAAGTTTAATTTGGGTTTTTTGCGAGTTAGGGTTCTAGGGTTTTCCAAGTTCGACGCCCATTTCGGTATGGGTTTTCCCCTGATTATCCAGCAGAATAGATTTCGAGAAGTGGCAACGTGATTAAACATGTGGAGGGGCGAAGATTACGAGATCCAGGACGGCGGGGGTAAGGAAGCTCCGGATTATGGTAAGTCAATCGATTCTTCTTACTGTGCATGAGTTCCTTGTTGGATCTGTAAACCTTAAACCATAATATCCAGATTTTAAGTTGGCATGTGTTCTTTATTGGATCTGTAAACAATATTTTAGAAAGGGCAGATTTAATTAGTATTATTCTAGGGTTTGGGACCTTTAAAATAATTTAATTAAAACCAATTTTGATAACCCTAACTTTCTGCCAATTTTCAATGTATACTTTAGGTGGATTATTTTATTTTAATTAGTATTATTTTAGGTTTTTGGACCTTCAACATGCATATTTTATGTTTATTGTTGTAACTTGTTGTTTTTATATGGTAAAGTTTAAATTTTGTATATAATATTGTTAGTAATTGTTTTCTGTAAATGTTTAGGTGTCAAGTCTTCAAAACTTACAGTAAAAGTTCATCATGGTGGGAGTTTTGTGAGAGGAATGATAAATTACTTTATATTCAGGGTCAGGTTGATTATTTTGACCATGTTGAATCTGGGAGTATTTGTATTGAAGAAGTTGAGTTTCTCATAGAGTGTTTAAGGTATTGTGGGCCTCATAAGATTTATTTTAGGGACTTGAGTGTGAAAGAACATTATGGTATGAGGAGGTTAGTTGGAGATGAAGATTTGGTGTACCTCATTCGCCTACTTTCAACTGACAACCCAGTTCTTGTACTTTATCGGATTGGGATTCATGAACCTGATACCTTACCTTCTGATAAGCTCAACCCTGGTGGCGAAAATCCAATTGCAGTAGAAGATAGAGTAGAAGAATCTGATGGGGATGATTCTGATCAAGAGAATGACAATTTGATTAATTTTGCTGTTGATTCTCTGACAGCATCGGGTTGGAGTACATTGTAAAAGCCAACTGAATTTGTGCCTTATGAATTAGGTGATGGGGTGATAGATGATTCTAAAGATGATTGTGGTTCTTGGTCAGAAGGGGACTCAATTCATGATTCGGATGATGAAGGATAGAGGGTTAAGAAACAAAGGGAGCTCAAGCCTCACTTAGAAATGCATAATCCCACTTTTGAACTCAATCAAAAATTCTCATCTAAGTGGGTGTTGTTGAGGGCACTTAGACAGCATGCTATTATTGATAGAAGGAATATTAGTTTCATGAAGAATGACTTGGAGTTTGTTAGAGGTTATTGTAAAGTTAAAAAATGTAAGTGGTTTGTAAGTGGAGTCAAAGTGGATGGTGTGGGAAGATTTGAGATTAGGACCATTAATGATAAACACACATGTGGAAGGGTATGGAGCAACAAGAATGTGAACTCTTCCATTGTGGCTGAATAGTTTCTTCTGGACATTGTGCATGACTTAAAAATGAGTGTGAGAACTATATGCTTTAGGGCATTGAATGAGAAGAAGGTGACTATTTCTAGAACGCAAGCTTGGAGGGCAAAGAACAAGGCTGTGGAAAAAATCAGAAGAAAAATTGATGAAGAGTATGCCCGACTGCCTGGGTATATTGCAGAGATTAAAAGGACAAACCCCAAGACAACCATGGAGTTGTTATGTGAGCCAGGTGAAAACAGATTCAAAAGGTTGTATCTTTTCTTTGCAGCTTCAAAGAAAGGTTTCAAAGAGGGTTGCCGAAAAATTTTCGGCATTGATGGAACATTTTTTAAGACACCAGTTGGGGGAATTCTACTGACAGATGTTGGTTTTGATGCGAATAACAACATCTTTTCAGTGGCATTTGGAGTGGTTGAGTCCGAGAACAAGGATAGTTGGGGATGGTTTCTGGACTTCTTAATCAAAGATTTGGAAATAGAAGACTCTCTTGATTGGGTAATCATATCAGATAGACAGAAGGTAAACATGTTTTTTTTTATAATTTGATTTTTGTTTAAATTATTCTGTAGTTGACAAGTTTGTTTTTTGTCGTCTTCTTGTTTGGTTTGTTGAAGGGTCTTTGTCCAGCTATGACGCATAGATTGGATAAAGTTTCACATAGGCATTGTGTCCAATATCTGGGGACAAATTTTAAGCAAGAAAATCCCGGACTTCTGCTGAAGTAAAAAAATGTGGGAGATTGCAAAAGCCACTTTTGTTGAACATCATGCAGAATTGATGGAGAAGCTGGAAAAAGAATGTCCTGAAACTGCAAAATGGTTGAAGAATGAACCATATAGGTTCTGGTGTAGGGCTTTCTTCAGGGAAATGACGAAGTGTGATATGTTAACCAACAACATATGTGATGGTTTCAACAAGGCTTTATTGGTTGCAAGGGAATATTCCATAATTGGAATGTTGGAGTGGATTCGTGTGTACCTCACAAAGAGAAATTGCCAGAAGATAGAGAAGCTAAAAAAAAACAGATGAAAAGTTTGGTTCTAAGATTAGGAAAAGATTAGAGACGTATTCAGAAATTACTGCTAGCTACTCATGCCTACATGCATGTGGGCCTGAATTTCATGTTACGACTCCTAATAATGACCAGGTGGTGGTCAATCTTGAATTAAAGACGTGTCCATGTAGGAAATGGCAGCTCACAGGTATCCCTTGTCCCCATGCGATTCAGGCAATTTTTGATAATGAACATGATGTAGATGCCCATGTTGATGAGTACTACAGCAAGGAAAGTTACATGGCTGCTTATGCCCCCGTGATTCACCCTACCAATGGGAAAGATTTTGGCAAAAAGTTGGTGAACCACCCCTTCAGCCACCTCAATACACAATTGCAATTGGAAGGCCTAAAGGGAGCAGAAATAAGAAAAATGATGATGCCCCTCCCAAGAGGAACAAGAATGGGGCCTTAAAGGCATGTAGGAAGAGAGGAAGAGGAGTGAACCGCTGTGGAGAATGTAACCGACAGGGCCATAGTGTGAGAACTTGCCCTTATTTGAGAGATGCTGCGAATGTCCAGGTTCGATTTCTCATTTTTCAATTTCCTTTATTTTCTATTTACAAGGTTAGAAACCCCTTATAAACAGATATCAATGACTGAATCATTTACTTCTGATTTACTTTTGCAAGAGCAAGGAAATGGCAGTCATGGTGGGGAAAATGTTATTCCACATAAACCAAAGAAAGGGAAGAAGCCAACTGCCCAAACCGAAGAAAGTATTGTAAAAAACAAAAGGAAAAAGCCAATTGCCCAAACCGGCGGAAGAGCTGAAAAAACCAAGGGGAAGAAGCCAGCTGCCCAAACTAAAGGAAGGGCTGTAAAAACCAAAGAGAATAACCAATCTGCTGAAGCCATCCTAAAAAAACTAAGGAAGCCGGTTGATAGTGGTGCGTCTGGCAGTGGTCAAAAGACTAAGGTACGTTTATAATATTGCAAGCTGGGTTGGTTTTCGTTAAGTGTATATATGTTAATTCAAGTTCAGTTGGGTTTGCTTGGATGTGTATTTAACTCAGTCATATTGCAGGCTCAACCCAAGAGACGGAGGATTGGGAGGAAAATTAGAAGGAATCAACATTTCTTGATAGATGAGGATTTAACACAGGTATCACTGATTTTTGACTAGTGTTTGTTTCACTGTTCCATACTCGGGTTTATGTGGGATTGACTGATGTATTTTGCATATAGATGGAAGATGTTGACAATGTAAACGCGAAAAGAAACAACAGTGATGGTTCTGAGATAGGCAGCAATTCTGAAAATGAAAGAGAAATCCAGAGATACCTACAGCCTAATACTGGAGTAAATTTCTGGTGTGCTCTTTGTAGATATGGAAACCACACTACTGAAAATTGTGTGGTACTAAAAGCTGAAGGGCAGATGCGTTGTTGTAAGCCTAATGACGTAAGTTTCATGCATGTTTTGCTTTTTGTATAAATGTCAGTTAACTATTATATTTATATAGTGAGGGTTGCATTTCATATATTTTGCACCCCTCGAGCACCAGATCCCCTTGAACCATCTGGGTACACCGATGATGATGATTACATGTATGAAGGGTGTTATCATTGTAGAAGCAATGATCACATGGATGATAATTGTCCAATACTTGATATACAATGTTCATATTGCAAGAAGTTTGCACATACAGCAGTAGATTGCCCTGAACTTGAGGTATATCACCTGACAATTAGATAGTATTTATTATGTATTACTATTGTGACTGGAGATTTATTGGTTGATCTTACCTCTGAAACTACTTATGTGGCAGCTGGATAATCTTGCAGCTGCAAATAAAGAAGCATCATCGGAGAACATTATAGCAAAGGTAAAAATTCTCTGAAGTTTAGTTTTTTGGCAAGGTTAAACTATAATATGGTAGTTTCAATATATTTACATCTGAAATTGTATTAATGTAAGGACTAAATATTATTTGGTTGTTTTAACACCTGCTACTAATTTGTACTGCAGAGGGATAGTCTGGCAGCTGAGAAGGAACAACCATCATCGTATAACATTCTAGCAAAGTTAAAAATTGTCTGAATTTTAATTTTTGGAAATGTTAAACTATAATATCGTAGTTTCAATACATTTACATCTGAAATTGTGTTAATGCAAGGACTGGATATTTATTAGTTGTTTTAACTCTTGCCACTAATTTGTACTGCAGAGAAATATTCTGGCAACTGAGCAGGAACAACCATCATCGGAGAACATTCCCGCAAAGGTAAAAATGGTCTGAATTTTAGTTTGTTGGTCTGAAATTACGGTTAACCATTGATGAGGTAACATGGTCGTTTCAATTGATGTACCTCTGAAATTTTGTCTCAGGAGCCTATCTTACCACCACCAAACACAAATCCACAAAGTCATCCAATTTTCAAAGCTAAAAAGAATGTTAACCAGTCTCCCAAGAGAAGAAGTTCCAGACTTGTAGTTGTCCAGAAAATAGGTGCAGTGGTTGGACCTGGTAGCAGTCCGGAGAAGGCCATTGACATTGATAGTGAGAGTGATTCAGGCAGCAACAAGAAAAAACCTAAATTATTCCATGGGAAATAGATAGCTTTTGCTATTATGTGACTGTTTAAAGAGACAGTTTGGAATTTTTGAATTTCTGGATTTCAGCATTTTACAATAGTAGATTGCAAGCAGCTATCTAAAATGTAATAGATAGGTTTGAACTTGCATACTATGAACTGTTACGGTAATTATGTCGATGGTGCACGTACCATCAAATTTTGCTTATAATTCTTGTGCCTATCGTCGTTTTGTTTCAGATTTAGATAACACATAGGAGTCTCTAGGATATGTTGCAGATTAAGCCTCTAATTTTTGAGCTTTATTTTCCCTGGGGAACCATTTTATTTTTGTAGATTCATTAGGGGTGCCAATCTTCGACACGAAAAGACACAAAAAATTGACCCGTATAATGAAATGGATCGTGTTTGTGTTAGTAAATTGTCCAATTTGTGTTCGTCTCAAACCCGACCCTTCAACCTGGTCGTGTTCGTGTTAGTATATTAAAATTATGTTCGTATCGAATCTGACCCACGAACTTCGAACATGACTCGATTGACACTCCTACTGATTCATACACGCTTTTTTCTTCCCTAGGAAAGCTATTTTTTTTTCTTTTTGCAGATTCATACAGGCAAGAAAGAAGCATTAATATTTTTTTTGCAGATTCCTGTACCACCCAAATGATCATCACACACTAATATCATCATATCCCCTCCCTCGAACAAAAATTCCACCAAGATCACATTCATGTAAAAAGCTTCAAAGTCCAATAGGGAACTCAATTTTTAAACTAAAATTGCATTGATACTAAAATTGCTACTAAGGGAAATTGACTACTACCCATACAAACACAGCTATTATAACACACTCATTCCTGAAACAAACCTATTACAATATTACACTCAATCCTATTAGTATTTCAACAACCAGTACACAATTTATCCAGCACGGTCACAACAGAAACATATGTAAGAAAATATAAAGAACCATACCCACGTCAAAGCAAGGATATACGACAACATTTTAATCCTTTTCTTTGCAGCAGCAATTTCTTGAGCCTTCTCTGCTAATTCTTCGTCTTTCTTCAACATAAGATACTCTTTCTCTGCCAACAATTCCTCTGTAGCAGCAATCTGTTCCTTCCTCTCCAACAGAGCTCTACAATACCCAGGTAATAGACGGATGCATCTATCACAAACTTCAGAATCAACCCAGGTAAAAAAAATCACACTCACTCCCAATATCGTATAATGGACAGCCAAAAAATCTCCTCCCTGGATTACTTTGAATCTTAGACATGCGGATGTTAGCTGATAAACTGCAAAAACATACAAAATGCTGCGAGACTAGCCAAATTGGACTTCTATTCATCTCTGGTATTGAAAATTTTGGTAGGAGGACTGATTGGAAGAGGTGAATGGGAGGTTGACCGTTTGAAAGAGGTGAATGGGTTGAAATACAGAAGCCCTAATTCTGAAATTCAAAAATTACACGAATTCAAATCCTAATTCCCTCACATCGAGTCGATTTCAGGATTTGTACAACCCTACCCAAAAGAAAACCCCATAGATCTCTGCTTTTTGTGAACCCTAATCTTTCTCAAAGCCCCAATTTCTTCCTCCCTCCTCGCTGAAACGAAAAATGACGAAAGAAAGGTTAGGTCAAGATTGACAAAAATCAAATGTAAAGAGAGAGGATTCTGGGTAGATTTGAGAAGGAGAGAGAGAGAGGAACAAAGGAATGATTGTTGGTGGTGGCGGTTAAGCGCGACGGACGACGGCGACAAAGGAGGAGGAATGAATTTGTTTTGTGGTGTTTTCCCCTTTTGTAGAATCCTGCATTTGGGTTTTCAGATTTCTCGGTTAACTTGAGTTTTTATGATTAGTTTTGTTTTGCAGGTTAAGCCCGAAGTTAACTTGGGCCAAGCTCTAAGTCTGAAGTCCATAACGAAGTCACAAAAAAAACCGAAAAAAATTATAAATGAAATATAATAAAATTATTTTATTAATATTTTTTATTTTTAAAATTTTAATTTTAAAATTTATTTCCCGCCTAAACGTAAATGGCAGGATATGTCACGTGAAAGTCACATGGCCACGCGGACCCTTAATATTGTTAAAAGACGTAAATATCCTTCGGTCAATCCACGAGCCTTTCACGTGAATAAGGTGTTGACCATTACTTTTTGGCCAGAAACCTAACAGAAAAGCAAAAGGTGACACTATTTAACTTTTTGGTGGCTTATGGTCTATTTTTAAACATTTGGTATCAAATGAAGACAAAGTGCAACTTTTTTGTACTTTTGCTGTAATTAATTGTATTTAATTAGATTTATTTAAAGTTTAGAATCACAAAATCCAACTTGAATTTGTTGGTTTGGGTTAGGGTTTTATTTGGCTATCTCTTGTACTATAAGATGGAATTTTCGGCCATAACTTTGGAGCATATCATATTGTAAATAAATATTATGAGCTTGAAAGAAAATTCCTTGTATTATTCAACATTTTGAGGTTTCTTTCTTGACTTTGTGTTTTTCTGGACATAAGTTATCGAACGTACATTCAAGGTAGTGTTGTATTTGTGGAGTTCTATAGGTACTGTTTTAAGGAAACTTTCTAATCAGTTTTCATCATAAGTCTTTATGCATGGGTTTAGTTGGATTGAGTTTACCTTAGAGTTGTATCATCACACACTTTTTACTTCCTGAATCTATCCTTATTTTTATTTTATCAAGTTTGTGGCTTGAATTTTGTTTGTCTTTCTTGTGTTTTGAGAATACTAGATTTGTTTACGCGCGACCAGTTTAAGTCATGTCAATATAAATTCACTTCAAATAGCTACGTTGTCATATGGTTTACTGAAATCCTAATAATAATTACTATGTGACGTCGAAATCGCGATTCATTAGCACCACCATTTGTTTCCTAGATGGCGGATTGCTTGCATTGCCATAATTAGAAGCCCAACCAAAGTATGATCACCATTTGTTTGTTGGATGCTGGATCTACACCATGGTCACCATTGGGAATCGAAAAAATAATTCAGGATCAGTTCTCCTTCCTTTCGAGAGATTGACCATCACCACCATTGCATAAGAATTAGATTTCGAACCCAAGAAAATAATTGAATTTCGAAGGGACGGGGAAATGGAGGTGACAGAAGATTAAATTGACCTTTGGGGACGGGAAAATATTTGTGGGGAAGGAAGGGATAGAGAGCGGCAAATAAAATTGGCAGTAAAAATAGGCACAAAAAAAATAACATTTTAATTGGTAACATCGGGTAGTAAACGTTGTCGTTTAGCCCGTCACATTAATTAGGTTATTTCTCTCGGCTATTGATATATTTGGTCGGCAAAAAAAAACTTTATTAATTGACCATTGTAGCCTTGTTTTAAATTGCTGATGTCATGTTAATATATTAACCAATCAAAGAGCTCAATTTAAAATTGATGATGTCATGTGAACTAATGGGCCAATCAGAATGCTCAATTTAATATATTGGGTTGGCAGAAAAAGAAAAAATTCTATTAATTGACTATTGTACCCTTGTTTTAATTGATGATGTCATGTTAATATATTAATCAATCAAAGGGCTCAATTTAAAATTGATGATGTCATGTGAACTAATGGGCTAATCAGAATGCTTAATTTAATTTCTGACCAATCGCATTCAAGATTCTAAACTCACCAAAAGACATTTAATTATGTACAGATTAAGCAAGATCTCAAGTCCAAAAAAATATAACTTCCGCAATCAAAATAAATTCTTATAAGATTGTCCAGTGTCCAATTTTGATTCTAAGTTTTAGTATAACTTATATTAAAAATAAATTAGGGATGGAGTATAATCAGGGGCGGAACTAGTAAGGGGCTTGGGGGGTCTCAATCCCCCCTTTCCCCCGGCCGGCCGGATTCAACCATGGTCCCATCTAGTCGGATCCCTTAGTTGTTAATTCTTCTTTTCACCCCCCAGTCTGTGAGTAGAGGGCCAAAGGATGTCGAAAATCTCTAACTTTCAATGCTCTAATTATTGTTTTATAGTTCATTGTGGTTGGCGGCATTCAGACGGCGAGTTGCAGCGGGGATGCAGTGAAGAAGAAGAGGATTTAGTTTTCCAGAAATTTTAGGATTGGTGCTCGAGTTTTGCTATATAGCAGATGATGCCCCTTTCATTTAAAGTTTTAGGATTTTGCTATAATTTTTGCCCCCTTAACTTTTTAAAAGTTATGACATTGACCTTACACTTAAGTATTTTTATGCGTTTAGGACAATGAGAATTCAACTATATTATTAAAAGTTTCTTGTAGGAATTAACAATGTTCTTGTTTTAAATGAGTCTTAGGTGCTTTTTCATTAAATGGTGTGGATTTTACACAAATTTTATAAGCAGATAATGTAAAAATTATTTTAAAAAGTATGATAAATTTAAAATATTTCTATTTATTTAATAAAGAAAAAAGTTTCTCTCTGAAGTTTATCATACATTCAACCCCTCGAATATCAAAAGCTGGTTCCGCCACTAAGTATAATTAAACATGTTCAACTTACAAATTGAAAGTTATTGTTTGTTCGAATATGTAAAAAGAAAAAGGTTGTATGATAATAATAATAAAGTAAAAGTCCGAGAAAAAAAGATCAAGGTAAGTTCGTTCCTTACAATTTACAGATATGATTCTGCAATAATATCTAATTTCTTCAAAGAGCACAGATAGATCAAAGTAAGTCTCGTTGATTAAAATTTACATGTATGTTTCTCCAGTAATATCCAATTTTTTCAAAGAGTATCTTCATAGAACACTAACACATATACAACCGACTTTCAGTTATCCCTAAAAAGTGGTTAAAAAAGTGACGATGCTGAATTAAATCCTAGGTTTATCGGGCTTAAGGTTAGATTATTTGGAGGTTAATTCACCACCTAAACCTATTCTTACTAGGTTTACAGAAACATGTAACACACTCTATATATAAAGAGGCGGTGTCTCTCTTTTATATCATATCTTCGATATGATCAACACTTTAATTATATACATGTATAAATATCTCTCCCTTCTATCTCTCTTATTCCTTTATTAAATTAAGTATTGGTGAGTCTATCTTCGATAGACTCCCGAAACTCTATTTTGTAGGTTTTATGCCACTTGCTGCCGCCTATCATTGTTGGCGGTCTTAAGTGCCGTGTGAATTTCGATTTCGACAAAATCTTTTTCCCAAATTCACTGTAAACAATAACTAAGATTCGATCTAATTTTACTCAAATTAGTTTGCTATAGGATGATTCTTGATAAATTTTATTTTAATTAATATATGGAATACTAAAATAAAAACTAGTAATTCTATTTTTCCTTGAAAGTTTCCCTCCAAACAATTTTCTCTCCTGACCATCTTCCATTCCTCACTCATCACGATATAAGTATATAACATATTAATGCATAACAATTAATGGTATGCGGCTTAAAAATGTAAAAGAAAGAAAAATATCTAATTCGTTTTATATATCGATGATGCATTTAACTGGTTCTATAATGCATATATTACTCATATCATCCTAAGCATTCGTATATTTTGTTAATTGAGGAAAAACAAAATATTATTTTGCCTTTGAATACCCATGAAAATATTAAAAAATAAATAAACGGAATGGAGGAGTGCCAAAATGCCATCATTCTACTTTCACATTTCAAAAGTATGATTTTGCTAGTTAACCAAATCGAAACGAGATCGTGACTATTGAACTTTTTATATTGTTTTCATTATAAATTTAAGACGGATTGTATTTTGTCAAAAAGGAGGTATGGATGGTATTTTAAAATGAAAAAATACGACCGATTCCACTGTCACTGCTGTGTCCGGACCTCCGACAGCTATGTTCTTACAGACTCCAAAAATGTTTTTGTTTCCTGGGCCATTATCGTATTTTCTTACGGGCCGTATCTAACATAAAGTAGGCCTTATTCTAGCCCAACTTCCTTTACCATCCATTATAGAAAATAACATGAATTTCTTAAAGTTAGTTTTGTACTTTAATACCAGCAGTTCAGCTGCCATAGTGTTCTCAATGATAGTAATCCAAACGTCTTTGGCATTATTCATCCATGAGTTGAATATTCATAGTCATTTGATATTGTAGATTTCTTTCATAATAGATTTTATATATCAGTTAAAATCTATACATATTGTAAAACTTAGATTGGTGCAGATTTTTTTACTTTCAATTATCAAAAGAAGAATTGACCATCTATTTACCCATTAAAGTGTTTACCTAAAACTCAGTGAAAGTGAGTATTCATCTATTCTAAAATTATTGTCTACTTTACAAAATATAATTGAATGTCAAAGTTTACAAACTTACTTTCATCGCATCAGTGATTTCATCGAAATGTATAATAGGATTTCTCAAACCAGTTTTCGGTGAGAGGTGACTGCAAGCTGATTGATGAGGAGAATTCGTTGCCATCGACGGTATGTTTGTGCATTTTTCCACTAGAATACTTTGAAGTCTTATTTTATGCTATAATCCGAAAAATCCTTATAAATAACATTTCTCTAAATTTTTCTTACTTGTAGTATAATCCTATAAATAAAAACTAAATACTGACTCTTGAGTCTCGAAAATTTATTAATATATGAAGTTATTAATTTATGGTAAATCAATGACTTATTAGTTTAAAGAATTTTTTTCTTTCCTATCAGGAAATAAATTGTATCTTTCATTAGAAAAGGGCTTAAAATACTATTTTTAAATGGGTTTCTAATTTTGTTAACACTAAAAACACCATAACCTTTTGAATACAATAAGAAAGATCAAATGATGTCTCCGTAAATATAAATTTTTTAAAACAACAAAGAACAATAACTTCATATTTGACTAGAAATTCTTAGGCTTTGTTTGGTTTCTTTTTTTGATGGTATTTTCAGAATAATTAAATATTAACTGTCCCATCCCAGCATATCTTTTTACATTTTCAATACACCTTTTTATATTTCCAATACAAAAAACACCTAAAAACACACATTAAAAAACCAAACAAACAAAGCCTTAGTTTTTTTTTTAGGTAATTACTAATTTATGAAATTATAGGGACTAATATCTACATAAGGGAATTCTTGAAAAAATTTTGTATTATAAACTTCTCAATTTTGTTCATTTTTCTTACTAGTCCGAGCTGCTATTAATTTATACATGATTTTTTTTTTTTTTTTTTTTTGCATAGAGTCCGTAAATTAGGACAATTACTGGGTCTTTCTATTTAAAAAATGGGCCATACTCTGGGCCAATTACCATCCCCGCCCATTATTACAGAAAATAATTTGAAGCCGAAAGTTGCATTCTTTCCAAATTCTCAATCCTGTCAATCGACAGACTTCTCGGTCGGATGCTTGTTCGCCGGTTAACAGTCCGACGCGCCGTTACTCTCAGCCGTCCGACGGCAGACAACAATCACTCCTCTTTCTCTTAGGCAAAACTAGTTGGCCGTTAGTTTTGTTTCCCCCAGTTTTGGTGTTTCCCGGAGTGGGAAGAATAAAGCTCTCCAGTTCTCCAGTTTGCCTATCAGGTTCTGCTCAACCTCCATTTTATTTTGATGTTTCGGAGCTTCTCTTTTCTTCAATCCGAGTTTTTATTTTCCCGAATTTATTTTGATTTATGCTTTACGGTTTTATTCGCGCTGTGTTGCTTCCTAGATTTTTGATGAAAAGCTGAACATAGATTTTTGCAAGTCGACGAGGTTTACAGTAGATTGTACGGAGCAAGTGTGATACAGTTGACGCATTGTGTGAATTTGGTATGCCAAAGTGAGTTCTAATTCGACCTTTACAAAAACAAAAAAAAAAAAAGAAAAAAGATTTAATAGCAATTGATAGAACCACAACAGCTCCAATATCTGCGGAAGAATCCAGCAGGCGTAGTATAAAGTTTGATTCTCTTTTTTCATTTCAGTTAAAATTTATTTGGGTTAAGTGCGAAGTGTGAACATATGAAATTTGGTGTCCGGTAGCTGGATTGCTTCTGAATGTAATCTTGATTTGGATAAAAGTCGTGATGGGCATTGTTGGAGTGCGATGATTTATCATGTCTGATTGAGAGCAACATAAGACAACCCATTAATTCACATCCAATTTAAAGATGATGTGCAAAATGTAAATATGACTCTACGAATGCTTTAGAATATTTGATTCTGGAGTAATCTAATCTAAAATGCCACCTAGTAAGTTGTGACTACTGTGATTTAAAATGGAGGTTGCGACTATTTTACTTAGGAAAATGATGCTGAGTTAGGTAAAGATTATTGAGAGCAAACAATTCGCTGTTTTGTTGTTAATGAGTTTGATTTTAAGTTAGATTAGGATAAGGTACATGGTATTTCTATGCAAAGGCAAGATATTTAGTAACTTATCGTGATGTTTGGTAGTTGCATCCATGTTATGCAGAGGCAAGATCTTTAGAGGTTATAACTATTGCATGTAACTTATCATGATTCTGTTAACTATCAAAGAGGTTTTGCAGCTCAAATGTCAAAATTCGTCTTTCTTTGCAATTCTCTATACTACTACATGTTCAGCTGTCTTCGTGTTCTGAGAGGCATCATCCCAAACGTTCTTGACCTTGTTTATTCTTTAGTTAATTTTATATAGATTTTGAGATTGAAGTTGATACAGATTTTGTCACCATACTCTCTTTTGTTTTTCTAGTTCATGTGTTATGATAGCTGAATTGGCCCTACAATAAAATGTGATGTTCAATATATTCTTCCTCAGGATCATCCTAGTGAAGTTAAGAGCTGGAGTTCAATTGACTGCTGTTGACTAAGTTCTTTTCTGAGAGAAGGAAGGAGGAATCCAACAAAACTGTGAAGAGATGGAAGATAAAAGTGACAGCCTCAACCATAGCAGCTGGAGAGCTGAGGAAGCTATTGCTGGAAACTTTGAAGCTCTCCAGCTTCTAAGAGAACTCATAACCTACCCTATTCTATACTCTCAAGAGTCTCGCAAACTCGGCCTTAGAGTAATTACACTATAGTTTTCACTATCTCCTGTTCCTCTTAATTTCGTTCTTCAAAGTGAAATTTACATTTAGGATTTCACTTTTTTTGGTTTTCTAGTGGCCTCGTGGTTTGCTGCTCTATGGCCCTCCTGGCACCGGAAAGGTATATAGTTCTTTAACCGTACTATCAGATAACTATGTGTTTCGGAACATTAAAATATTTTGTGGTTTTCTTGGGGATAAAATCGACTCTTTTTGTGTTGAAAAAAGGGAGAAAAAGATTTTGTCTTTTTATATTTTTTTGGTAGAAAATTTGTTCTCTTTTTATTGATGGTTGTAGCTTTATTCTAATAATTGCTTCTTTTGCTTTTTGGAAATGTAGACAAGTTTGGTCAGAGCGGTAGTTCGTGAATGTGGTGCCCATCTTATAGTCATTAGGTAGTGTGACATCTTTTTATGTTTTTGCCATATGTTAGTTTCTTTCTCTTGGGTGTTTTTTTATAATTAGTAGAATGATAATGCTGGCCAAGGAAGGAACAAGTCTTGCTGGTCTAAAAATTAGATTTTGCTGGATAGGTGGATCTGCCCTTGTCATTTGCATGAGTTGAATATTTTTTTTATCTATAGTTGTAAAGAGGTGGCACAAATTCTGTTATTATTTGTTTCTTATATTCGTATTGGTTCCTTTTGCAGCCCACATTCTGTCCATAGGGCACATGCTGGAGAGAGTGAGAGAGTTTTAAGGGAGGCCTTTACTGAAGCATCATCTCATACCAAATCCGGAAAGCCATCAGTTATATTTATAGATGAAATTGATGCGTTATGTCCTCGTAGAGACTCAAGGTATATGTCTTCTAGATAGAATTTGAGATATGTCTTAACTGTTGCTTGTTTGAAGAAAGATGGTTACAAGATGCAAATAACAGTTTCCAATTGCAGAAGAGAGCAAGACAACCGTGTAGCATCCCAGCTCTTTATGCTTATGGACTCAAATAAATCTTCATCAACATCTGGATCTCATGTGGTTGTGGTGGCTTCAACTAATAGGTAAGTATAAACAATATCTTTGAATTGCCTGGAAGAATCGTCCGACAAATAAAAAAGAATCACGCAGCACCTGAAAATTAGCTAGATTTTCCTTCAGGTTACTTCTTTGTGTGTGCTACGATTTATTTTCTCTTTAGATCATTAAAGCATGGGATCCTTCTTGCTTCAAGAAAGAATTGTTTGAAGTTATTGCCTTTGAAGTTCTTTTGATAATTCAGTGAAATGACAAACGTGCAGAACCATAACAAGATACTTCCAGGAACTCCTTGTACTGTTATTTTTTTTTTTTAGTGGACAGAATTAAAAAGGGCTGTCTCTGGTTCTTCTGACCAATTTGCCTTTTTTCTTTTTCCTTTTTTTGGCTTTTGTTGCCTTTTTTTTTTTTTGGTCCTGAAAATTGATATGCTCACATTGTGTATATTGATGTTGGAAACAAGATGTGTTTCCTTGTAGTTTAAAATTCAATTTCGCTTCTTATCACGGACTAGTAGGAAATTTTACTTCCAACATTTGATCATATTAATTTCTGTTTAGAGTGGATGCTATTGATCCTGCACTTAGAAGGTCTGGGCGTTTTGACACAGAGGTTGAAGTTACTACACCTACTGAAGAGGAACGCCTTCAAATTCTTAAGGTTATTATTATTATTTACATTTTTTATGCTATATTTTCGTTGGCAGATGTTAAAGAATAGTTGACCTAGTGGTGTTCATATATTTGCTACGCAAGCTTTCATTTGCGCACTCTCTCTTTCAGCTTTATACGCAGAAGCTTCTGTTAGATCCCACTGTTGACATACAAGTATTAGCTGCATCTTGCAATGGGTACGTCGGAGCAGATATTGAAGCTTTATGTCGCGAGGCTGCTTTATCCATGGTTAGAAGAACTTCAGGTGCAAGTTTTAGTGGCAACTCATGCACTATTACAATTGAGGATTGGAAACACGCCAGGTCCATTGTTGGGCCAAGTATAACTAGAGGTGTTACAGTTGAAATCCCTAAGGTTTCTTGGGAAGACATTGGGGGTCTACATGACTTAAAGGTAAACTGCTGTTCTACTAGGAAATAGCATTTGATTGTAGAACTTTTAGTGAAGTGCGTTAACATTCTACATAAATCAGAAAAAGCTCCAGCAAGCTGTAGAGTGGCCGTTGAGACATTCTGCTTCTTTTTCAAGGCTTGGAGTGTCCCCTGTCCGTGGAATTCTCCTTCACGGTCCCCCAGGTTGCTCGAAAACAACTCTGGCTAAAGCTGCTGGTCATGCTGCCCAAGCTTCTTTCTTTTCCTTGAGGTTTGTTGAAGATTTCTACACTCAGGGAAAATCTTTAATCTTGATTCAAGTTTTTTGCAACTTTAAGTTTGGGCTATTGCTGTGTTACTTCCCTCAAAACTTATTTTAGTTCTTCAGTGGTGCAGAACTTTATTCAATGTATGTGGGTGAAGGTGAAGCTTTGCTGCGTAACACATTCCGTCGAGCCCGTCTTGCTTCACCAAGCATAATATTTTTTGACGAGGCTGATGTTGTTGCTGCTAAGCGGTAAACATTTAATCTTTTCAGAGAAGTTCTGTACTAGCGGACAGTTAGTATAGATAGCATATTCTTCTTTTTCTGATACTCTGTTCCATCTTTACTATGTCCTTGTAGATAGAATTTGTTCTTGATATTTATGGAATGTTCATAAATCAATACAATCAATATTAATTGGATTTGCTGGTAATCAATACATCAAATGCACCAATGCATCTTGGGACGACGAAGTACAGGGATAAGGATTATACTGCATATGATGTTGTTGTTGCTGTATTATGGAATATGCATGAAATGAAGAGCTTCACATAGTTTGTAGTAGCATGTTTTTCTGATTAAGAAAAAGAAAGTAAGATTACTTAAATGTCCTTGCTTATTTTTGTTGGCTGATGCTGACCGAGGGAGTAGTTTTATCCTTCGATATGATCCAATGTTACGATTGTGGCCTTCAGAAGGCAATAGAATCGTTTGCCAGATACCCTTTTTAGTTTATTCTTAAATTTTGGTTCCATTTTCTTTGTCATTCTAGAGGAGGGAGTTCGAGTGGCAGCTCAAAAGTAGGTGAGAGACTATTATCCACGCTACTAACAGAGATGGACGGTTTGGAGCAAGCAAAAGTGAGCACTGAAATCCTTCCTGAGGTTATATATTATACCGAGCTTGACATCTGACCTGGTCATTTCTTTGGTTAGGGAATTCTAGTGTTGGCTGCTACAAACCGCCCCAATGCCATTGATGCTGCGCTGATGCGACCAGGACGCTTTGATCTGGTAAGACATGTTACTTGATTCTGGTTATTTGTCGCATTGTAAACAATTGGTTGTCTAATATCTCTGAAGTTATGAAATCAGAGAAACATATCATTTGTCTGCTGGGTTTGTGAACAGAAACTAGATCACATCTTTCATCAATTTACATTATTCTTCCAGGTGCTTTATGTTCCGCCACCAGATTCGGAATCTCGCTATGAAATTCTTCGTGTTCATACCCGCGATATGAAATTGGATCCTGATGTAGATCTTAGCCTGATAGCTGAAGAAACAGAACTGTTCACAGGGGCGGAGTTGGAGGGGTTATGCAGAGAGGCTGGAATTGTAGCTCTGAGAGAAGATATATCAGCCACTGTTGTATGTAATCGCCATTTCCAAAAGGTTCGGCAATCTCTGAAGCCAGCGTTGACAATGGAAGAAGTTGTCAGGTACTCCTCATTCATGAAGAATCCCTTCTTGAAGTCAACTAGTACAAGTTAAAATTGTTTCTAGTTTCAAAATTATTTTCAAGTCAAAATAATGCGAAAAGCTGTTAATGTTTTCATATAATTTTATTTTAGGACGATTTTGCAATTTCAGTCTCTCCAATTTCCTTCCTTGCTAATTGATAGCATTTTCCTTCCAACTACCAATTTCAGTCCTTTATTTGAATTTTTGTTTTCATTTATTGAATAATGAAAAATAATAGTTATCTATGTTAATTTACCTTCACTTTGCATATCGAATTACGTGGCTTTACATATTACTCCCTCCATCAACATTTAAGTTTGTTTTAGGTTTTAAAAAATATTCCAAAAGCGGCAAAGTAATTATTAATTTTTACCTTTATCCTCAATTTACCTATGATTATTGAGAAAAAGTAGTGGAATTCATTTCAAAATCTTCTCGTCTTGACAAACAATTTCAATTCCCAAGAAACTTATTAGTAAGACTGACATTTTTTTTTCCGTCATAAAAGAAGTTTACTTTGTTAAGTGAAAAATTAATTGACAAAGAATATTTCATTTAACATAGATCACAAAAAAATCAAAGGTCTAGTTGTATTAGATCAAAGTCAATTTCCATATGTTAAGAAAATAAAGTAATTTTCACTACTTATATGCAATTTGTTTTTGTTTATTAATAAAAGTTACAGGGCGAAATCCCTGGTTTTCCCGAAAAAAAAAAAAAATGGAAAGTCGTTTTGCAACTCTAGTTGCGAATCAGAACCGGAACAAATTGCTTATGTTAATGCCGAACAACTTTAAATATACAAAATCTCATGTTGGCTCATCATGTTGGTTCGAGCCATTAAGGACCTTCTAGGACGTCAATGTAATGTGACGGTCAAGCATAGGCTAATTTTGTCGCAGATTGTTTAGCTCGAAAGGTTACCACAAATTAGAAAATCCACCACATGTTGTAAAACCTTGGTTAAGGCATGATGTAATGGGTGTATGTTATCTAAGAAACATTGTAAATAACTAAGTAATAAAGTTTGGCCTATTCCTTTGCAACAAAAAAAAAAAAGAAAAGAAAAGAAAAATAATACTCTTAATAATCTTCCCATAATTATATCTGCTGCCTTATTTGATTCTTTGACCAATTATTCAGCTGATTTTTCCCCCTTCTTTCAAGTTTAGATCAAAACAATATCGATCATTCCTTATACATTTTCTTGTATGTTTACTATTCTTTTTAAGAGGTTATATATTCAGTAGGACTTCAGTCCCAAATGATTGAATTTTCTTTTTTAACATAATTTTACCGGACAAACTAGACTAAAAAATGCCCTCAGCCTTTTGAATTTTATTGGATTTATTATTTATTTATTTTGAAACTCTCTGCTGAGGCATCTAGTCAGCGGCGGCCGATGGTATACGAGGAATATGACTGCTCTGCTGTAGCGATTTGTTTATCAAAATGTCAACTGCCTTCCTACTCAAACATGACGCATAATCAAACAACGAAACACGATTTCACTCTTTCTTTAATACTTCGAAAAAAATGACAAAGCAATTCCATATATTCTATCTTCAACATCGTCACCATTTTGTAAGATCAGATTAAGAAAACGAAAATCCAAAGATGGCTCAAGCTGCAGTTTCAGCTGCTCCTCAAACACTTGGTAGTTTGGTTATACAGCAGGCAAAGTTTCTGTCAGGGGTGACTGATCAAGTTGAAGAGATCAGAACAGAGCTAAAGCAGATGCAACTATTCTTAAAAGATGCCGACTCAAGAAAACACGACGACGAAATTGTTGTTAACTGGTTGAAAGAAATCCGGCTCCTGTCTTATAGAGTGGAAGACATCGTGGAGACATGCAGTTGAGGTCGTTGCTGATTAGAGAAGAAGAAAAAGTGGGGTGAAGAAAGTCCTCAAGAGATTTGCTTGCATATTTTGTGAAGCTAAATCGCTTTACAAGATTGGCTTAGAGATTGCAAGAGCCAAGAGGGATATAAGTGGTTTGACTTGTAGCCTACAAAAATATGATATCAGAGCAATTTCCGGTGGAGGAGGAGTAGCAGGGGAGAGCTCGTATAGTCTCGAAAATGAAAATCAATGGTGGGGAAGACAGACTTATGGCCATCAAATTGAGGAACACTTTGTTGGGATGAAGAAAGATGTGAAGAACTTGGTGGCCCTAGTTGTTGATGATGGTGGCAAACACCATAATGTGATTTCGATACGGGGAATGGGCGGACTCGGGAAGACAACTCTAGCAAGAAAAGTTTACCAGCACAAAGATGTTCAAAGACGCTTTGAACGATTTGCCTGGGCTTGTGTTACACAACGCCCCCGAATTAGAAGTATTCTTCAAGATATTCTGACTCAACTACTTGGTCCTGCAAAGAAGGCAGAGGTGAAAGAAATGGAAGATAGGGAAATGGTTCAACAGCTTCATCAAGTACAGAAAGAGATGGAATGCTTGGTTGTTCTTGATGACATTTGGAGCGCGGATGATTGGAATAGTCTGGTTGCAGCTTTTCCAATTGTCCAAGGGAGAAGCAAAATATTATTCACAACCCGTGATAGGAAAGTAGCAGAAATCGGATCTCCGTACGACCCAAAGTTCTTGACTGAAGATGAAAGCTGGGAACTGCTTCAAAAGATAGCTTTTTCGCGAATCAATGCCAGAGGTAAGAATTTTTTTACTTCCTATGATCTGTAAGGTTGTGTTGTTTTGATAAATCTTTACTCAGTGTATTCTTTAAACCGCGCTGATGTTTCCTTAATGGCGCGCATAAACAGACACACACAAGCACAACACCTTTCTTGATTTGTTAAATGTATTAGGAATCTAATCACGTAATTTTTAAACTTGTTCAATCTCCATATGAAAGTACTATGCTAGGTTCCACATCACATACAAGCATAAAAGTCAAGAGAAACTTTTTCTTTTTCAATAATGTATACGGTAATGTTTCCAATCATTATGGGGGTAAATTATAATGTCATAATCATCTTAGATTGTAGGGATTTCTTAAAAAAAAAACAAAAAAAAAAAACAAACTTTTGGGGTTAAGAAGGATTTGTCATTTGTGGGAATGAAATGATATGATGTGACTTGTATATGTTTAGCTCAATGGTTCGATAAAAAAAGCAATGGTTACAATACGTAATTTCCCTATAGATGTTTACTTATACATATTGGCCATTGAAAGGTGCAATTGTTTTTTAAGGCTATATATAACATGTCTTTTTATGATTTATAGTTAATTTGAAAAACAAGGAATTAGGAGAAAACCAGTATCAAAGCTACATTTAATTAAATTAGTTTGTGTTGCTTGCCTAGACTCCAAGATTGATCCAGAACTAGAAAATGTTGGCAAGGAGATGGTGCACAAGTGTGGGGGTCTACCATTAGCAATTTCTGTGCTTGGAGGGATTTTGAAAGACAAGACTTCATTAAATGAATGGAATGAGGTGAACAAGTATGTTAGCCTATATCTGAACAACAGGGAGGATTATCTGAACAGAGGAGTTGTAGCCAGAGTTTTGTCCCTGAGTTACGATGAGCTGCCATATCATTTGAAGCCGTGTTTCCTTTATTTGGCTTGTTTAAAGGAGGATGAGAAGATAGATGTTGAGCATCTCTATCACTTGTGGATAGCAGAAGGTATGGTTTCGTCACAACACCGAAGAAGTGACGAGACATTAAGGGATGTAGCAGAGCGATATTTGGAGGAGTTGGCACATAGGTCTCTGGTTCAAGTGAGATTGCGCACCCCCCAAACAGGTAGGAAATATAAAACCTGTAATCTTCACGACATGATGCGGGACTTATGTGTGGACAAAGGACGGGAAGAAGAGTTTATTCAAGTTGTTGATCTTCAACTTGGTAGACAAACCCTGGGGGAATCATCTCTTCTTTCCAATAATGTTGCGTGCAGGTTAGTCTTGCACATGGATCATGAGTTTGCATTAGGTGCTTCTGAAGCAAGTACTTGGGCTCATCAGGAGAACAACCGACAGCTCCGTTCTATTCTGTGTGTTGGTAAACACGACGATAAGATGATCAGTTGGCCACAAGGCATACTGGATTTGGTGGGAACTAAATCACTAAGAGCCTTACAGTTTAAAGGTTATGATTTCGAGCATAAGGATTTCCCCGTTGATATTCAGAAAATGGTCCACCTTAGGTATCTGAATATAACAAGTTGCAGCAGCTTGGTCCAAGTGCCGCCATCGATAGCTGAGTTACCATTTCTACAAACACTTTACATTAAGGTAGAAAGTAAAATTAAGGTACCAAATGTGATTTGCAAGATGAAGCAGCTAAGGCATTTGTATATGGATTGCCCTAGATATCTCGACGAGAATGGGAAATTACGATTACATGGTCTGACTGAGCTGGAGACATTGTGGGGAGTTGAGAGTTCCATTGATGAAGTTTCTGACATTTCCAGTTTGTTAAATTTACGGTTTCTGCATGCAAGAATTCTTGATGCAGCTAGCCTTAATGTTGTCGTTGAACATATCAGGACCAACGGACATAAGTTAAAGGAGGTATCACTGTCGATTGATCTAACAATTTGGCTTGGTCCTTTTGATCTTGTTGGTTCATATGAAGGTTCTCTTTTGAAGAAGCTTCTGATGTGTGGAAACATTCATAAATTGGAATTAATGGTGCAAACGAGAAAATTTCCTAGATATGAATCCGGAATGTTCCAAAACCTCGTTACACTTGACATGTACTACAACAAAATAGAAGAAGATCCCATGGAAACACTTGAGATGCTTCCTCACTTGCAAAATCTGGTATTAGGCTCTGATGCATACATAGGGCAAGTTATGGCTTGCCATTCATGGGGATTTCCAAAGCTTATAAATCTTTCTCTTATGAGACTATCTAATTTGAAATGTTGGCGGGTAGAAGAAGGTTCAATGCCTAAACTGTCTTCTATATCAATCTGGGGATGTTCAAAATTAGAGATGATTCCAGATGGGTTACAGTTCGTTAGGAGCCTCCAAAGATTGGCAATTATTGGGATGCCTTCAGACTTTTGTGAAAGAATCCGAACCATTTATGGCAATGAAGGTGTTGATTATTACAGAATCAAACATGTTCCAGGAATTTTGGTGGGAACCCCGGCTACATATTTTCCGATGAATGAGTTGGAAGGTAAATAATTCTGTGTCACCCTTTTTATATATAGTACTACATTCGTCCCAAAAAATAGTCCACATTAAATTTATAAATTTGTACTAAAACAGTACAAAATTCAAAACTCGACATGGACTATATTTTGGGGACGGGGGAGTACTATATATGTAACTACAGCACCGCGCAATGAACATAAAAATAATCTATTCATTGCAACTGTTCAATAAATATTGCAAATAACTGTAATGTAAGCATTATGGGTGAATTTGAGTGTCTATGTCATGAATCTAGGTGGAGTATGGTGAATTGAAGCCCTTTGGCAGGCCTCTTGTAATGTAATCTAGGCTCCACATCCTATTCTTCGTGTTTTTTTTTTTTTTTTGTGTAAAAGTATTACTTAATTTATGTATTCTAGTCTTCTAGAGTCTCAGCTCACACGTCCGGAGCATTGATATCCAACCTTCCCAATATCCAATCTCCAAAGGCAAAAGGATAAATCAGCGTACTATGTAGTACTCCCTCCGTCCCAAAATTATTGTCCAGTTTGAGTTTTTATTTTTAGTTCAAATTGTACTAAAAGTGAAATTTCAAACTGGACAATAATTTTGGGACAGATGGAGTATGTACTAAAAACAAAATTATCATTAGTTAAATGAAGCCTAATTCATTAGAAGCTACTGTTATAAAGCTGTATATACATAAAATCCGTTCAAAAATCACCTAAAACCTTCAGCAAATTGATCAGCAATAGCATATCATATTCCATTTCTACAGTTTCATTCCACTACTCTAATGGAACATATATAATCATTTTCTTTTTAACCTTCTTGGCAGATATCACGGAAAATGTCATTCCTATCTATTTTGGAAAAATTCGATTGGTTTAGACTCTTCAATTATAGTATAACTTTAAAGCACCTCAATGAAATGACCATTGCATCACCGTCATCAATGCAACTTCTAAAAGTTTTTCCAAGCAGTTCCATGATGTAATCAAATTGGCCAACTTGATGTAATCGAGTTTTTATTTTACTGACGAGAAAATGCCATTAAAAGGAAAAAAAAAAAAAAAAAAGAGTAGTTCCATGAGTTCAATGTCACTTTTGTCAAGGATGGTGCCTGATGCTTGTGGCCGAGGATGAAGGCCATAAGTGCCCTTAAATGGAAAAGCACAAGCAAATTAGCAAAGAAATACTAACAAAGAACATTTAAAAGTTGAGCCCAATCCAAATCCTTGAAGCCCACCCAGTTTTTCACAAACTACCCCCGATAACACGTCACTGATCACTCAGCTGAAGAGAGTCCAATTAAGGTGCATAAGGAGTCAATTGTCTTATGGTTGACTCCAGATTTATATCATAAAATAGCAAGGGGGAATTCTTATTAGGACCGTTGTATGTTTTAAAATTTCTAAAGTGTAAAATGTTTGAAATTCTCCTCAAGAGTGTAATAATACTTTTACCCACTAAAAGTTTTGTTAGTGACAATTATACCCTCTATTTAATGAAAACAATAAAATCTATAACTTTGTGATAAAGTAAACTTTAAAAAAAAGAAAAAAGACTAGAGGTCATTTTCCTCGGTTAGAAACCCAAATGAAGAAAAATAACTATGGATCAAGGATCAAATTCCAGAGTCAATACAATTCAATAAGAATTTCCGGATAAAAACTAAAAAAGAAAAAAAAAACTCTAAATCGTATAAATTATATTGACCTAAGATTTTCAAAAGGGGAAAAAATATAACCCCAAAAATCTTTTTTCGAAAAAAAAAAACTCGCTTACAGAAATAAAGTTAGCCTAAGAAATTACGCACTGACCATTGGGAAAAGGGGGAGGGGAAAATGGAAGCTAAAATCACAAAGTGATTAAGCGAAGAGTAACAAATTAATCGTCTATGGATTCATAAAAATTGAGAGAAAAAAGGATTCGATGGAAGATGATGAAGCTGGAAAGGGAAAAATTTCTTCTCTTGACGGGAAATATAAATCATTACATATATTAAAGGAAAGAAAGATAATAGACACGTGTCGTTTATTGAGACCATCAAGTCTCAATTAATATTTTTCATTTGCTAATTGATTAATCATTAATCAGTTAAAATTTTATGTAAACAGTTAATAAATCATTTACTATATAAGATTTTTACAGATATTACAAATTCATGATTGTGAGTTTGAGAATGAATATTTTCAAAAATTACTGAGAAACTCCCCGACTTCAGAACTCCTTTTATTAACGAGTTTAAACTTTTAATTTATTATCATTTTGGCCCTTAAAGTTCCATTTATATGTTACTTAGTCTTCAAATTTATCGATTTTATATTTTTAAGGACGATTAATTGTGTATAATCCCTAAAGTCCCCTTGTCTATAAGTAGGCCATAGGCATCTAGACATAATTTACGTATTTTTAAATATATTTTTTAATCCAAACATAACATTAGTTAGTGGTGATAATTTTTATTATACAACTTTTGAAAATCTTTGTTATAATATTTTTGACCAGTCTTACAAATATACATCTCATAATAATATCAATATCTCTCATTTTGATCTAAAATTGATTAATCAAAAAAATATTATGGTTTTAAGAAATATTAGTAACTACATTATCTAATTAATTCTTTTGAAAGATAAATTTTCAACATTGACAAACCTGCGAAAAGCGTGGGACACATAATAGTATCAGCAATGACAACATTAAGGAGAGTATATATTTGTCACTAACAAAAATCTAATAGATAAAGACAACATTACGTAAGAATTTCACACATTTTACACCCTCTTTAGAAATTTTGAAATAAATATCCCTTAATAAGAATTTTCCCAAATAACAAATCTAAATTTTCAGAATCTCTTTAAGTTACAGGACGTCACTAACCTGTCATATGAAAAACCACACCCAAGGAGATGATAGTTGAAAAAATGTTAAAGACCCGCAAATTTATACGATTGTTTTAACATCCGATTGGAGACTAAAAGGTGTTAATTTCTTCATGTCAGAAACACTAAGTGGCACCCAATTAAGGTTGTACACTCTAATTGATTGAAGTATATCAACTTCATGCAATTCCACCAAGGAATTATAGACATTAATTATAGGTCAGTCAAAGCTACGTATCGCAAAAAGAAAACAAAACAACCGAGAATCGTCGGAGCAAAGAACGCAAGATGTATAGACAGTTGTTACTCTTTGTTTTAAAAAATAATTTACATTGAGTTAATATTGTTTTTTTTTGTGGACAAATGGAGTATTCTTTAGCATGTCTTTTGCATCATTCATGTCGGTGTGGTTCTAAACAAGAACCCATAATTTAAGACAAAACTTGGTCTAGTTCTCTTAATTTCCTGCAGAAATTAAATTTTTCAAAAGAACTAGTGCGTCGAACAAATTAACATAGTTGGGAAATAGTGTAAAGAATCTTTTCTAGAAAAAAAAATGTTATGTAAAAAAGGGTTCAATTTTGAATTAAATAATTGTGTGCAAAATTTTCCGGCTTGAGGCTAAACAGTCATGTCACTGCTCACTCATTTTCAGCTTGAAAATGTGAAAAGTGATACTAAAATGAACAGAAAAAACATAAAATAAAATATGAACCCTAAATAAAATAGAAAAATGAACAGAGAGGCTATTCATTGGCTTCAATTATTCCTGCAAGACATGTGGACACACTCGTCTGTGAAGGTAGATAACGCCCTTGCTATTATGAATTGAATCCATCGAATTTTGAATAGGCTACCCCAATAAATTAGCTGCATTTCTGATTGTCCTATCAATTGACCTAATTCGGATACTAGAATGATCTCTGATTGTCAGTGCCATCCATGTTACTTTAATGTCGAATCTCGTCATTGCAGTTTGATTGAATTAATGATGTTTGATTAACAAGGTCGGCCACTGATTGTGGATAAACCCATTAAAATCAAGCATGGTTTCACATCAAATAACCACAAAAAATTAATAACCGGTTTTAACTACCATTTTATTCAACACTTTTAAGTTTTTATTAAGGGCAAAACGGTAAACTAATAGAATATTATACTAAAATATAACAATTGACTCCATAAGTTTTAGAGAAAATTTATTAATCAGTCAAAATTTAATACCGTAACAAACTGACCACTAAACTTTAGTCAATTTTTATCTTATTCTTATTTAGTAAAACGAGTATATTATCAAGTCATGTGATATTCTCCTTATTACTTTGGAGGTTTGGGTTTTAAAATAAAATTCTATTATACCAAAGTTAAATATCTTAAGGTGTAAAATTTTCATTGTTTTCTTTACTGAGTTACAATTTTGTTTCACTTTATTATAGAAAAGAAAAGTGAAACAGAGAGAAGCAAAAGTAAAAAATCAATAAAAACCATTAAATTAAAAAAAAAGGATATGGTACTAAAGTTTTGAGTGATAAAATAAATTTTCTCTAAAATTTATTGGATCAATTTCCTTATTTCAGTAAAATATTCTATTAATTCACTGTTTTGCCCTTAACAAAAACTAAAAGTGTCGAATAAACATTTTAATAGATAATTGTGGTCAAACTATTAACTTTTTGTAGTGATTTGGTGTAGAATTCTGCCTAATTTTGACAGTCAAAAATGAGTTTTGTTCTTTATAAATTTCAAGGAAAAATAACTTTTCTATAGAAGTAAATCGGTCCCATAATTATTGTCCACTTTTGTTAAGATACAAAATTTTATTTTTAGTCAAACTAAACAAAATTTTGGCTCAAGCTTCCAAATCTACCCCCACGTACATAAATGGTTTTTCCAGCAAAAGATTTCAGGAAAAGGCTGCATACTTCTTTTTTTCACTATCTCCCAAATTCAAAGACCAAACTCGAGACAAGAATGACACTCTTAATTGTTCTTCAGTCACGCGCGTATAATCAAACCAAAATTTCTGAAGAATATATCGATTGTTGTTTCGACTCCATCTTCTTTGTTGACAATTTTCCAATAAAGTTGAATTCTATGGAGATCCGAAGTTTTGGGGAAATCACGAATGCATCTTGATAAAGGTGTAGCTTCGCCTGGCGATAAATCTGGCCACCGTCGGAGGAAAACTGGAAAGCGTTAATGTGCATATTATCGTAGGTTACCCACGACGACAGAGACCTTAAAGGATCGGCCAATACTAAAGAAGTAGCTTCAATCCGACAACTCCTTCTTACTCCAATTTATATGAATCATCGTTTTAAAAGCATCGGGATAAGAAGCTGCTCACAGACGAGGAATGGAATCAAATTTTTAAATACTCAGCCACCTGGACACCTCATGCTTTATAGCGCACAAAGCCGTCGTCAGAGTTCAGCGCTCGTTTTCGCCGTTATGGAGAAAGCAGGTATGTTTTTTACTAA